TTACCAACAACAACATTTTATTATAGTCCAGAGGCCCTTATTGCTCAATAAGTGTACATAATATCAAGGTTAATAAAATTAAAAACACCTGACTCATTGAACACACGGATGAAATTGGTGACAGTTAAAACTGGTTAAAATATGAGATTAAAACCGAAGCCATATCAGATGGCTATGAGCATAGGTAAAAGACTACAAAAAGCGTCCACTTGAGATCGATGGCAAAAAGATCAAGATACAGGTGTGGGATACAGCTGGCCAAGAACGCTTCCGGACAATAACCCAAAGTTATTATCGTAGTGCCCATGGGGCTATCCTTGCCTATGATATGACCAGACAGTCCACTTTTGAATCTATTCCTCATTGGATTCATGAGATTGAAAAATTTGGAGTTAAAACTTGTGCGCCAACTGCGACCGTACCTTGGGAAGTCTGACTTGGCCACGGTAGTCCATGCTCTGGTTACATCCCGTTTAGATTACTGCAACGCTCTCTACGTGGGGTTGCCTTTGAAGACGGTTCGGAAGCTCCAACTAGTCCAACGGGCGGCAGCCATGATACTAACAGGAGCGGGGCGCAGGGAGCATACAACTCCTCTGCTGCACCAGCTCCACTGGCTGCCGATATGCTACCGGGCTCAATTCAAAGTGCTGGCGTTGGCCTTTAAAGCCCTAAACGGTTCTGGCCCAACTTATCTATCCGAACGTATCTCAGCCTATCAGCCCACCAGGACCCTAAGATCTTCTGGAGAGTCCCTGCTCTCTATCCCACCGGCGCGGCTGGCGGGAACGAGAGACAGGGCCTTTTCTGTGGTGGCCCCTCGGCTTTGGAACCCCCTCCCCATAGAGGTACGATCAGCCCCCTCGCTGATGGTGTTTCGGAATAGATTGAAGACATGGATGTTTAAACAAGCATTCGGTTAATCCGTTGCAACGAATTTTGATGACTAAAGGATTGGTAATCATGGACGATGAATTTTGGACTGCGATTCCAGTTATGAGATGCATGGGATTATTATTGGTGGCCCAATAATTTGTATTGTATATGTGTTTTATGCTTTTAAACTGAATACTGTTTTTTAAATGTTGTAAACCGCAATGAGTCGCCGACTTAGGCTGAGATATTAGCGGTATACAAGTGTATAAATAAATAAATAAATAAATAAAAAGGCACCAGGTATATTTCAGCTAGTGTCTAAAATAGAGAATTCTCCAATCCTGGCTGCCTCTGAAAGAAACGTGGCAACAGCCAGGGTCACATGGGGAAGATCATCACCAAGTAAAAACTTCACATAAAATTTCACTGGACTGGCCAGTAAATTTCTCAGTAGGGAACTGATTACATGTGCTTGAGCTTGTTCATAAAATATGGTAGATGTATTTTACTTCCTGTTTGTTACATGGCCAGAGTCTCATTCATTGTTACATGGCCATGCACTCTCATTCATATGTATATTGCTCCCCAAGTGCCCTGTCCATACATTATCTTGGGCCTTTCCATGCAGCAAATAATCTAAAAAACTTGGCCAAATACCACTGCCTATTTTCCATGGCGTGGTGTAATATGTTCCTGTCTGAACTGCTACATAGGAGATTTGCGGGTATCCCATCCAGTGAAAGACTCTGCCCATGTTGTTATCTGTTGAATCAATGGGATCTACACAACATAAAATATAAAATATACAACAAGATTGCCCAGTACTGAAGTGAGAAAATACAGCATTTGTCTAACTTACCTTTTCATGTAGTCCAAAAATCCTGTTCTGGTCAGTGGGAAAATTATGCCTTATTGTTGGGCAGACTTAAATGTTAAGCAATCACCCTTGATTAATTGAATTAATCACGTTGGAATGCTTAAACCAGGCATATTTCTAACCAAGATTATAAATTGCTTCCTATGATTACGTTTTACTAGCATGTTGTAAAATTCTGGTTAACAGTGTCATTTTGAAAATCCATTTATAACTCTTAAACATGGAGGGAGTCATTTAGGTTTTACAGATTGCCCTGCAGGCAGCAAAGTTAAAGAGTTCAGGAAATAGTGCCACTATATAATTTGATCTGGAAGCATATCTGAAAGGCATGGAGAAGACTTGGATATTTTTCTTGTGTGGAGGGATCCTTATACAACCCTAGTGAACATTGGAACTTATCTATTATCTGGAAAGATGATACTTTATTAGCCAGGCCATTTCTAAGGACTCTTTAAGGATTGCTGTCCTTAATCTTTATTTGATTTAATGCCCCCTTTCTTCTCCACCATGATGAAAACCAAGACATTTGTGGCCAAATTAACATCAGAACACAGTCAAGATGGCAAATTAGAAGAACACTCAAACTAGGAGAAGCTGTAACAGTTTGTTGTTGGTGTGTGCCTTAAAGTCATTTTAGACTTAGGGCTATCCTAAGGTGAGCCTAATGATTTCAAAAAATTGAGATTTTCCAAGGACCCTAGATATCTAGGGAAGACTGGCGAGTTTCGCTAACAGAAATCAGGATCTCAACAAGCAAATCCATCTCATTAGAATACAAATTTGCTTTCATATACAATACATTGTTTTAAATAAATGTCTTTATGATTTGTTGACAGTAAACAACATTGATATTTGTACCTATTTTATATGCCTATATACCTGGGGTCATGTAAACACTTTTTTGGTGAAAAGGGGTCACTACCAGGAAAAAACGTTTAAGAAGTCCTGGTCTAGAACAAGTGTCACAACTAGAGTGGACTCAATGAGTCAATTGCTAATTGTAACTTGTGTAGATCCCATTGATTCAGCAGGTCTCCACTGGCTTTGACTAGGTTTTAGGGAATGTCTTTCCCCCTCTTATATGTATCCCTCAGGAGAATTTGCCCCCAATGATAACTGTGCCTTTGTTCACATGAGGTGCAATGCAAATGGCATAATTCCCTTAATAATTAAATATTCCACAACCACAGAGTTGCACTAATCAGAGCAGAGCTAACATTGTATGTGCAAAGCCAAAGTTTTTGTGATCCACCCAAGAGCTTGTTTTCAATGTTCGGGGGGGAAAGGCTTTACAAAGTGATTTTACATGGTGAGAAACAGTGGGGTGTTTCCTCATGGCAACCATTCCAGTTCACCTTGTACTATACAGACAATTGCCATAGGGCCTAATAAAATCTCATGGCATTACATCATTTCCTTTAGAAACAAAGATGCCCCTATTCAAGTGCTACATTTATCCCATCTAAAGAAGAACAGAGTCCCCTGATGGTAGTTATGGGAAATAGGAAGCAGAGGCAATGCCTTGGGGGTGTCCAGGTTTTGGTAGGAGGAAACTTAAAAAATTCAAATTCTCGTTATCTAATTTTTAATTCTCAGAATTTGGAGGCCATAATTAACAGAAGTTTTTGTGATTTTTTTATGGTTAAAAAATCCAAATATAACACAGAAGAGTGCTGTGTTTGTGAAGTTTTCAAACATAGTCAAGTATATGTTTTTTTAATTGTGTGTTTAACCATTATTGTTTCGCACTACTGTGTATCAATAAAACACTGTTCCAAAAGAGAATGCAATCTTGATAGTGTGCTTGTTGTACAAGCTGTCATATCAAAATTTTGTTTCAAAACAAGTAGCCATATTAGTCTGTTGTAGCAAGAATAAGGAGTCTAACGTTGTTGTTGTTTTCATTCAGGTTATTTGTAACTTAGGGTGACCATATCATAGTGTTTTCTTGACAAAATTTGTTCAGATAGTGTTTGTCCTTGCCATCTTCTGAGTTTCAAAGACTGAGACTTGTCTAGGGTTCTTAGTGGCTTTCCACACCTAAGTGGGGATTCAAACCCTAGTTCAAACTCAAACCACTAAACCACGCTGCCTCACAGTATGGTACTTTAAAGACTAACAACATGTAGCACAAACCTTTATGTATTGTTGTCCACTTTATCAACTATGTGGAATCCTACCAAGGTTTATACAGGCAGTCCCCAAGTTACGAGCAAGATAGATTCTGTAAGTTTGTTCTTAAGTTGAATGTGTATGTAAGTCAGAACAGGTACATTTTTGAAGTATACTCCAGCCACACACACATATTTATATATGCATGCTTTGGATAGTGTAGGGAAGGGTTAACACCTCTTTGGTATTTGTTTTGCTATCTGTGGCCCAGTTCAAAAGATTTCATCTCTCTTTCTGTCCCTGTGATGATTGATTTTGAAAAAATTGGCTTGTTGTGGAAAAAAGGATTGGTGAGAAAGTTTCAGTGGAGACATCTTTCCCCCATGATAACTCTTTCAGGGGTAAATTTCCCTTCTTAGAGTTAGATTTATCTTACTTCCTGTTGTCTTACCCCCGTTTCTAAGTATGAGTTTGTATCAATGGGAGTGGGGTTCAGGGTCCTAAAACCAACTCCTAGAAGATACAGATGATACACTTTATTCTGGAATCACTACCATTGCTTCTCCATTTTCCTTCATCTCTAGGGCTGCCCTGACCAATAAATATAGTCAAGAAGTCACTTCAGGTGGTTTATTCTGGTTGTCATAAAATAAAGTATTTTATTTGTCGTGTCAGGACAACCAATCAGAAAAAATAAAGTGAATGGACACTTTAAATTAAATTAAAGTAAATTAAACAATTATGGATTGGAAGTGTAGGGTACACAAAAGACACACAAGATCAAAAATCTTCTATTTGTACTTTATGTTATTTTTAATATGTTGCTAGCTACATTTTGAGTCCTATTATCTGGCAAAATGTGGGATACAAATGAATCACAACAACAACAACAACACTGTAGAAGTGATGGCAGTAGAGAATTCTTACTTAAACATTGGAAAGAAGCGAATGATGGAGAGAAAAAGCAAACGGAGATCTAGAGGTATGGATAGACAAGGCAGAGGGAGGAAAGGAGAACCTCCCTCTGTGATGGGATTTAGCAGATTAGGGGTGGATGAGTTCCTGAATATTTATGCCCTAACTTGTGCTTTTGTTGATCTCATGGTGATTGTTGTAGTTGCATAAGTAAGGAACAGATGTAAGGATGTGCACCACGAGAACCATTGTCAAGGGAGCTGCCTGAGAAGCACTTACTTCCCTCCTGGGACAATTCTGTTCCCATCAAGTTCAAAAAAGAAGAAGAGGGAAAAATGCACGTGTTGATTTATATGCAGTTAAAAGGAATGCCTTGAGGGAACCTCTGGCACTGTAAAATACAGGGTTAGAAGCTCCTGTTGGATTTTACAAGCCCCCAGATTGCCAGGGCATTACGTTAGGAACATCCAGTGATGAGCAGAATGGAAAAAATGGCTTTATGCCCAACATACCAAAATGATTAATTCAGCCCACTGTCCTATGATCTCTAGTGGCCAAACCCAACTCGTGAATTAGATAAAAGGGGGAAACTTGAGAGGTTTCAGAGGGATTATTTCACCTTCATAGTCCAGGAACCTTGCCTTGGTTCATCTTTCCATCTTTCTCTTTCCATTTACTCCCTGTGTTCAAAAGCAATGGCTCAAAAATCAGTCAGAGTTACTAAGAATTTTAGTGCATCTTCGGCTGTTATGCCAGGTAGCCGAACTGGCTTTAGCACTGTTTCAGTATCCCGGGGAGGTGGAGCAGGCCTTGGACATGGTGTTGGTGGCTTCGGGAGCAGGAGCCTCCATGGTTTTGGAGGAAGTAAAAGAATCTCCATGGGTGGCTATCGCACTGCCCGATCTGGATACGGTTATGGGTTAGGTCATGGAGGAGTTGGGTACAGGATCGTCGGTGGTGCTGGGTATGGAGTTGGAGCTGGTGGCATCCATGAGGTGACGGTCAACCCAAACCTCCTGGCTCCTCTCAACTTGGAAATTGACCCAACCATCCAAAGAGTAAGGAAAGAAGAGAAGGAGCAGATCAAGACACTCAACAATAAATTTGCCTCCTTCATTGACAAGGTAAGTTTTCTTTCTCATTGTCCTTTGGGGATACTTAGGGATTTTGAACAATGTGGACTTGTATACAGATTGGAACATTGTTATCTTTCTATTTTTGCTCTTCTCCATTTTTTTGTGGAGCACACATTTGTTGGGAAAATAGATTCAAAAGTAACTTGACGCAGAAATGAGCTTAAGAAAATAGCAAGGTTTAGAGGCAGAGTGATTAAGTTGAAGCCTAAAGAGCATTTGTGTGTGTGTGTGTACTAGCAATATTTTAAAGGTGTCAAAAAGAAAAAGCGATGCAAACACAGAAGGAATTATTCTTCATAAACAGATTCCACAGCTGGAACTTGAAAGAAAGCTGATTTTTGCTATATTGAGATAAACATCTGAATACTAGCAACTGTTGAAGAATAAAATAGATTTTGTTTGGCACTCTTTGACTGGAGATGCTTAAGTCTAGACTGACTAACCGTTATCTCCTTCCAGTTCACTGGTTGTATTATCCGGGATCACAGGACTACATCTCATAGAACTTGATGGATCTTACTTTGTGATAGATGTATGATTGCCCTATGACTGTAGTCTGAGATCCAAAGAGCTACTTTACACAAAAATGGCCTTCTTGTCATTTCCCATTTTTAATAATGGAAGTAAGAGATATAAGCTTATTATGAGCTGGTGGGGAAAAAATGCTAAGGCAGAGAGAAGGACCTTTCCAGCAGATCTCAAATTGTAAGGAAGAATACAGTCCTTCAAATGACCTGGATTTGAGCCGTATAGGGCTGTATAGGTCAAAACCAGGACTTTCAGCTTGGCCTCCAAGTGGATTGGCTAGAAAGTGGAGTGCTTGCGACAAGGGATTTGTGTGCTCCCTGTAGCCAGGTCTAGTTTGCAGTCTGGTTGCAGCTCTTTGGACCAGCTGAAATTTATGGATGCTCTTCAAGGGCAGCCCCAAATAGAGCATTTTACAGTGAGCCAACCAGGATGCAACAAATCTGGTCTTGAGGAACAGGCTCAGCTGGTGGAGTAGTTTGAACTGTGCAAATGCACTCCTGGCCACCACTGAAACTTGAGCTTCCAGGCTCAGGATATAATCCAGGAGTACATCCAAACTCCAAACTTGTATATTTTTCCATCTAGCACAGGTTTGCCATCTAGCACATGACTATTCTCTGATCTGCCTTCTGACTAACCAGGAACACTTTTATCTTTTGTGGAGGTTTCAGTTTATTTGCCATCATCCAGTCCATTGTTGGGTGGGTCTAGAAATCTCACCTTGCGGCTTCCAAATTACTAGCAGAAAAAACCTCCATCACTTGGTGCAGCTGATGCCTGTTAAAATAGGATTTTGAGTCTGTTCAGGAGAGGTTACATAGTTCTGCATTTGACTACATTTGTAATGCTGGTTCTCTGTCAAGTTTTTTAAAACATTTAGAATGCGTACAAGCCTTCACAATTAGATCCCCATTCCTGAAAATAGCCGTTCCCAGCGTCATTCCCACATCTTCCCATTCTTCACCAACTGAAGGGATTTGTCACTTTTTCGATCCTCTGACATCAGTCACCGTATGATATTATTAGAGTTGAGAACTGACCAATTTCTATCTCTCTCCAATGTAGACATCCTTCCTGTCCAATTAAAATAGAGGGAGAAGATGCTAGGAGGTTATTTTTCTGTTTTGTATTAAGATGTTTTGTTTTGTCAGTGAACTTCTGTTAATATGCAACTTGGTTTTCCTTTGGTAGGTTCGCTTTCTAGAGCAACAAAACAAAGTGCTTGAGACAAAATGGAGCCTCCTGCAGGACCACAAGATCACCCGTCATAACTTTGATGCAATGTTTGAGGCATACATCGCTAATCTAAGGAGGCAACTAGAGGGTATTTTGGGAGAGAGACCACGGCTAGAGTCAGAGCTGAAGAACATGCAGGATACAGTGGAGGACTTCAGGATCAGGTGGGCAACATAAAAGAAAGATTAACGAAGACTGCTTCTCAAAAGTGGTCCTATCTTCTTCTGTCACAAACTTTTTTAGATATGTTTTTGCAAACCACACAATAATTTTCGCATCACATGTATTTTGGAACCTTCTTCCAGGCTTATTTTTTCTTCTCTTTCTCTTCCTCCTCTGCACCCTGATTACACATCAGCCCACACCACTGGATGAGTTATTTCAATGGTTCCTTATAGATGATAAAGGCATGAGGGGGACATATGTCTTTAGCATTCGTCTTGAAATTGTTCTGATTTGCCTCTCAGGCTGGATCTATACTGGCCTGTATCCCAAGATCCGACCTCCTTAACATGCCTTGGAAAGAGTGCATGACATGGTGCAGGCCCAGGAGAGAAAGCGTGCATGCCTGCCTGCCTGCAATGTCTCTCCTCTAGAGTAGAAACAGCTTTAAGAAGCATTAAACCCGGTCTTCTCTACAGACAGGAGTGAAAGAATTATGTCTTTAATGCTTTTAATCCAGGTCTTAATGAAGGATATGGAGGGGGGTGCCTGTGGGAAGTCACCCCCCCCCCCCATAATGGGCCAGATAGGGTGCTTCCTTAACCCTGTTGCTGACACCCAGTCTCCATGAAGGGAAAAGAAAAGCTCCCAGGAACAGAAAGGGGAACCTTATAAGCTCTTCATTGCCACCAATGGGCCGATCCACCTGCATTTATCGGCTATGGACCAAAAATGGCTATCTGGCTACTCGCTCATTCTCAGGAGGCATGCAAAAACACATATGGGGTCTACTAGTATCAGGCCAGCAGGAACGGATCAAGTTTCAGCTGAAATGCACAAGCCTAAAGAGTAGATATCCATTATCATCAGCCACATATATGTATGGTGCCAACTGAAGCACATGCCTACCACCACCTTCAGAAAAGTTGCTGATGGAAGCCAACATTTGTCTTTCTCCTCGGTTGCCAGTAAGTGATAGTCAGCAATTTGTACTAACCAACAACTTCCCTAGCCACTGCAGTACAATTCTACCTAGAGGGAAATTCCAACCTGATTTTTTTTCTTTTTGTGGCATGTGACTGTAAACCTTCTGAAATCATTGGGATGGCATTTATGCTTCTCTAATTTATGGGTGAGGTGTTAATTACTTCAATGCCAAGTTCCAGCAACATGGAAAGAATGTCACAAAGGGCTAATAAAAGCTGTTAGTTTTCAAATTAAGGATGAAATTATTCGAGTTTTAAAAGAGTTATCTCTTTCATAAAGGTTTGGCAGTTGCCTGATGGCTTGCTTCCATGGCTAAGTTCTATTTTCCCCCAAGGATTGGTCATTTGATGACACCTACTCCCTCAAAGACCAGTTCCTACAGCCCCTTTTGGCAGCTTCCTGTCTGGCACCATTTGAAAAGCAAAACTAGATAGATAGATTTATGTTGGCCTCTCCTCAAAGTCAAGGCAGTAAAGCTAGTCTGGGCATACTCATGTTTGTATTCCTTTGAAAACATTCATCAAAAAGAAAGTGCCCAAAATGGAAACATGAAGGTGCTTAAAGGCACTAACACAGAGCACTAACACAGACCCATTCAAACTTCAAAAGCATATCTGAGAAATCTAGTGGATTCAAAAATAGAGACAGTTGAGCATTTGTGGCCTTGCATTTTTATGCAAAATAACAAGGTTTATACACTCTGGATTGTAGGTCAAAACACAGTTCTACACACATTCCTACATTTTGCAATGTAATTTACAGCTTTAAAACTCTATCTGGAAATGCACTTATTAAAGATGGCTCCATGCAGAAATGTGTGCCAGAGACGCTGATGATAATGATGTTGGCTTTTATTGTTTCTATTGTGGTCTTATAGTGTTTTAATGTTTAATTTGTATTTTGTTATTATGTGTACTGACTTGTTGTAAACCACCTTGAGTCGCTGAGAAAGGCGGTATACAAGTACAGTAAATAAATAATAAAGAATTGTGTCCTGTCCTCTCAGGTGAAATATGCATGATATCTGAAAAATCATAATGGCACTACAAAACCAATTGCAATGATAGAAGACATATCAAACCTTCTACTTGTCATAGAAGCTAACTTTGTCAGAAAATCTTTGAGATTGTATTTTTCTGAGATCTTATTTTCTCACCTTTGATTGCCTATCCCTGAACACTGACCATGTTGTACAATTTCTTCCAAACTGTCTTCTCAATTTTCTTTTTGCATATGATGGCAGCCACACTTTAAAAAAAATACATACATACAACCTCCAAAATGGCATTAGTTCTACATCATTTTAAAGGATGCAAATCCTGATCATGGATAAGCTGCTTAATGATCAAGCCTCATTAAGAGAAATGAAAGAATGTAGGGTGCTACCATTACTCATGGTGATTCTTGTCCCTGAAAAACCTGATAATTTCTCATCTCTCTGAAGAATGGTCCCAACAGTTGTGTTGCCCAACCAGAAAATTTTGGAGAATTTGAACAGAGTTTGGAAAAGTTATTTTTTGGGGAATCCCAGCCTTAGGAATGCTGGCTGGGGAGTTCTAGAAGTTCTGCTCCAACCAGGTCATTTTCCTGAACTCTGTTTTTGAAAACATAGTTCTGGATTCCTGACACTATTTTTCTGATCCAAGTCTGAATGTCAGAACACCTATAGCCAGGCTTCCTGTGTTTCATAGGGATCAATGGTGGGAAGCCACACAACAGACACATCCCTTGGTGGGATGGGGTTTGGAGTAAGTCAGGTGATGTGGGGTATGGGATAATAAGTTTCCCACTGCTCTCACCGGGCACCACCAGATTCACCACAATCTGTGGCAATTCAGGAGGCCAATGTGATAAGGTTGATATACTCTAACGCACAGGATGAATTGTTGATTATGGTTCTGGTTATCAGTTTAGAAAGCTTCAGAAGAATTTGATGAAATATATAAAAAAAATCTGATTATTTTAAAATTGGTGTGATAGCTAAATGGAATCTCCATGTGGAGGATCACATTACCTCTAAGTACCAAAAATTGGGAATTGACTGACAACTGCCTTTCTGAGCTTTCTGAAATCAGCCATCTGGCTACTTTTGCTAGTTTAGATCTCTGCTTCTGCCCCTGTGGGATTGTTTTATGTTCTCATGCTAGATCTGGAATTTGTGAAAATGTTGCTTTTAGCTAATACTTAATTCTAACATTAAGACATTAGGGACCTCTTCACACTGGGGAAAATAGCCTAGTTTTGCCGCTTTTATTTGCGGCTTGGATGAGACCTGCCAAGCGTCATCAGATGACATATGGTAGGTCCTACCCACATTCCTCCCAAAGTGGAGGGGAAGCACCAAAAGGCACTTCTTCCATCACCATGGGGGAAGAAAGAGTGCTTTGGGTATTTCTGATGGACCTACCCGCATTTTCCTCTCTCTTTCCCTGTATGATGGGGAAAGGGTGGTGGGCAACATGTGTTGCTGCGCATTGTTGCCCTTTTCCCCACCTGATGGAGACAGGATGCCAATGTACCCTGTCTCATCTCCACCGTATGAAGGGAAAAGGAGGGAGGGGTGCCACAAGTCTCTCTGTGCACCTTCCCTTTCGTGGGCAACTACCAGTGAAATAGTATGGCCTGAAAGGGCTGTGTGAAGCGGTCAAAAATCTCCTGTTTTGTACACACTGGCTTTTAATTCTTCTGTGTATAATTTTATGGGGTGGACAGATGAGTAGGCTTCATATCTTGTTTTCACTAGTTATTATTCATTATTATTTTTATTCATTTATATGTCCCCCCCCCCCCTCCAAGCCATAACGGGACTCAAGATAGCTTACAAATTATTAAAAACTATCTGGAGTAATAACTATATAAAACATCAACATAAATATTAAAGTTATTTTGGAAAGAAATATACAATTTGGGAAAGTAAAATTCATTAAAAGATTACAGTTGGCCCTCCCCATCCATAGATTCTGAATCCTTGGATTGGCTTTTAAAAAAATAAAAAAGATTCTCAATTTTATTTAAGGAACACCATTTTACTGTGCCATTATATATAATGGGACTTGAGCATCTGTGAATTTGGGTCCCCATGGGAGTTCCTGGAGAAAATCTCACCAGTATATACAAGCCAACAAAACAGTACAGTACACCATTAAAAGCGCACCACAATAAGTAATCACCATGCGAACCAAACTGGAAGACAGCTCACAATCCTTTCACACAAAATTCCAATTCTGTGCTTTCTCTCTCTCTATGTGACCCCCCCCCCCTTCTCTCTCATACACAGAAATCCTATAGAGACTTTCACACACAAATGCCTTTACTTTCAACACTACAACTTTTTGTTAGTAATGGGCCATTTTGTTGTGGCCACTGCTTTAAAAATGAAATGAAACTTTGCAGGTCTACTTAAAGCAGCCTAAAAATCTACTTGTAGATTCTACTCTATCTTCTGTCTTTTCAACCCTCTTTCTGATAGGTAAGAGATAATAGTAGATAGATTTAGAAAGAAATGGTTGGAACAGAAAAATAAGAAGTTGTTTCTTTGTTAATTAGTTTTTGGTCTTGTATTTTTGAGTACTAATGAGTTGCATAATTCCGCTTTCCTCTTAATAGGTATGAAGATGAAATTAACAAGCGTACAGCTGCAGAAAATGAATTTGTAGTGCTCAAAAAGGTAAGTAAATTAGATATTTGTGTGTGAGAGTCATGTATAGATGCACACAAGCTACCCATGCACACAAAACAAATAGTGTTAAAAAAATAGTTGCTTTTGAGAAATGGGAAGTGAAAGAAGGTAGTATTAAAATGGTAAGTGTAGAGCAGGGGTCCTCTAAGGCCTGGGGGTTGGATACGGCCTTCCAAGGTCATTTACCCGGCCCTCGTTCAAAAAAGCACACAACAACAACAACAATGCTGTCTCATCTGCCAAAAGCAGGCCCACACTTCCCATTGAAATATTAATGTTTATATTTGTTAAAATTGTTCTTCATTTTATTTATTGCATTTTAAGTGTTTTTGCACTACAATTAAGGTATGTGCAGTGTGCATAGGAATTCATTCATTTTTTTTTTCAAATTATAATCTGGCCCTCCCACAGTTTGAGGGACTGTGACCTGGCCCTCTGTTTAAAAAGTTTGTAGAGTATCCCCTATATCCTTGGGGGATAAATTCCCAGACTTTGAGTGAATAATAATAATAATAATAATAATAATAATAATAATAATAATAATTTTGTTTCTTATCTGCCTCCTCATGGCTTGAGGCAGGTCACAGCACAGTCAAAAACACACAAATACTATATAAAAAGTCTACAAACACACATATTAAAATGCAGTTCCATAAAAGATACATATCAAAACATTTCTATAAAATACACATTAATAACGCAGGGCAGAGACCAAAACACAGGACATGAATTTTAAATTTATACTTTCAACGGGCTGGGTAGGCTGGAAGAGATAGGGTTTTAGATGGTTTTTAGTGAACCCATTGAAATGAAGGACTTCCAGCCCAAGAATGCCATAAAGTCAAGCTGGAGGACCTAGAGAATGCCTAAAGAGGATGTGGATAAATACAAAACCCATGAATACAAGGTCATACTGTACAATAGGAGTTTGCTCATCCCCCAAAACAACTATAACTAATTACATTTAAAAGTGCACTTTCAAGTTCTTTCTCATTCTAAGGAGGTCTTTTAAATGTAGCTATGTTGAGAATAGCCTATTGCTGGGCAAAACTGATGGGGATTGTAGTCTAAAATATCTGAAAGTTGAAATGTTCTTAACCCAGTTTTAACCTCTTAGGGGAAATTATGGCTTCGGTTCCATAGCAAGTGCTGCAGTCTTCAGTCTTTTTGCTTCTTTTTCCAGGATGTGGATGCTGCCTTTATGAATAAGGTTGAACTGGACACCAGAGTGGATTCCATAAATGATGAAGTCGCTTTTCTGAAAGGTTTCTATGAAGCAGTAAGGAAAAGCATTTTCTGGTTTTTACTGGCTGCTAAAGAGTTGGTGGGAATTATTGTCCAATTCTTCTGGAGGCTGGGAAAGTCTGATTTGGAGAATAGATATAGAAAGTGACGCTTTAAAACATCTGTCAGGGATGCTTTGATTGTCTTTCCTGCATGGTTGGGCTGGATGGGGTGAGTGGTTTCTTTCAGCTCTATGATTCCATGATTCTGTGAAAGGAATTCCCTTCCCCCAAAAATGCACATGGACCCATTTCTGACTTTTAAAAGAAACCTGAAGACATATCTATTTCAGACTGTATTAAGTTAGTTGTGCTGGAGACTGAAGTATTCGTCAATTCCTAAGTAACAAAGGTATATCTCTATGATTAGACAGAGTGAAGCAGTTGCTTCAAGCAATAGATTTTAGGTATCTTTTCATGAAAAGGAAATGAACGGTTAGTTGATAAATGTGTTATTATTCCGTTTCTATTGACAAAGATAAAGAGAGAGGTGCTTGAAAGCTCTTCTCTACTCTGTATGTCAGATAACTTGTGTGTCCAATATACCATTTATGATGGGTAGGGATATTTTTGCTGTTTTGAATCAGACAGCAAGATATTTTGGTCTGCTCCTGATCCATAGCGTCTGGCAGTGCTTCCCATTTGCTTCCTGTAAGGCTTATTTTTTCATGATGTATTGTGAAGTCATTTCCTGTCTGAGAAGGAAACTAGAACATGTTTCATGTGTTTTGCTTTGGGAAAAAATCTGTAGGAATTAGCCCAGATGCATGCCCAAGTTTCAGACACCTCTGTAATTCTTCAAATGGACAACAACCGAAATCTGGACCTGGATAGCATCATTGCTGAAGTTAAGGCTCAGTATGAAGATATTGCCAACAGGAGCCGAGCAGAGGCTGAATCATGGTATCAAAGCAAGGTACGAAGGCCAGAATTCTTACCTTTTGTGTCAAATTTAAGAAGAGCCTGGACTTAAAGGTTCTTCGAGATATGAGTGGGTTTTGTTGTGTTGATGGCATAGATACTTGATGTGGTCCTAGCAAGGAGGGATACTGTTGAGTAGCATGAGGCAATTGACTTAGCTGTCATGCCAGAAAAAGTGGTAGATAGTTATGCATTATTCCATTATTTGTTAAGGCAGCCCTGGTTTGTAATGAGAACCCACCTGTTCATTCTGCTGAGAGATAAAGTTAGCCCACAAATGAGCGTTGTTAGGTATTCATCAACGTTTCTAGAAGTAACATTCAAAACAATGTTGCATTAAAAATATGATCTAATTGACCCTCCACATTTTTGCATTTTACTTTTGTGTATTTGATCATTCATGGATTTGATTAATATGCTCTTTCTATGAATCTCTAGCTTCTCCGGCACAACTACAGTCAACTGGTAGTTGACCATAGAGTTCTACTGGAGAACTTACGGATATCATAGTTGAGGTATAGGGGTTGAAACTATTTCATTTAGTTGGGTCCCTCTTTTTTCTTTTCAGTATGAGGAGTTGCAGCTGTCAGCTGGAAGGCATGGAGATGATCTGCATAATACGAAGATTGAGATCTCGGAGCTGAACCGCATGATCCAAAGGCTCCACTCTGAGATCGACAATGTGAAAAAGCAGGTACTGCTCTACAGAGGAAACAATGTATTGTGTCAAAAATATTTTGAGGGCTGAGGCTTTCATCTGGGGAAATAAAGCTTGGAGGGAAGTGAAAAAATAGTCAAACAAGACAAGCAGCATTTGAAGGGTTGGAACTGTAGTTCTCAGGTCTCTGAGCTATCACCATATTTAATCTAAGCATTTATTTAACCCCAAATAGAAACTCTTGCTTGAGTGATTCATAGAAATAGCCATCATAGTGTAGTGGTTTGACTTCTAGGCTACAACTCTAGAGACCAAGGTTTGAACCTACTTAGGCATGAAATCCATTACACAAGAAAAACATTAATTATTATAAGATTTTCACTCATCAGGGCACAGGTTCCTTGAAGATACAAAACTGTCAACCTTAAGTGGTTATATATCATTAAGAGCAAGGAAGGTTTTTGGTTTTCTGAATTATATTCAGTTGGAATTCCCATCATTCTTAGACCCTATTGTCATTGTGAGGGATGATGGAATCCATAGTTCAATAATATTTGCAGGACTATCTCTGTCCATTACAAAGTTGTGCAAATGGATGCAGAATCAGAGACATCAATGAAAAGGTACTATCATGAATAAACTCTATTAATGCCACCAATTGAAAGATTATGTGCTCTGAACCAAGTTCTTGCTTATGCATCTTGCAGTGTGCCAACCTGCAGGCATCCATTGCTGATGCAGAGCAGCGTGGAGAACTTGCCCTGAAAGATGCCAGGAACAAGCTAGCTGGATTGGAGGAGGCTTTGACGAAGGCCAAGGCAGACATGGCCCGTCAGCTACGAGAGTACCAGGAGCTGATGAATGTCAAGCTGGCCTTGGACATTGAGATTGCCACTTACAGGAAGCTGCTGGAAGGAGAGGAGAGCAGGTAGGTGGGCTGTGAAATGCTAAACAGTTGTTTATTCTGTGTGGAGGTAGTTTGGCATGAACCAGAAGCACAGGGCGCACAACTGTACAGCAGTCACATTTGCAGGGGGCAAGGACCTTATTTCATCTGAGATATCACTCAAACCTAACCCAGCCTTGAGGTCTAGACTGCAACTCCAAGGGCTCTAAGGGATGGAGATGATAGAAGTCACAGTCCCAAACATCTGGAAGTCACTAGGTTGGAGAAAATTGGCCTATCATTTCCATGACTGCAACATATATATCTTACCAAGAAGGAACCCATAATAGTAGATTTTAGGCACAGCTTATAAATAGCACTTTTTAAAACACTTCATCTCACATGGAGTTGTAGCCCCAATACTAACTTTCTAAGCTCATTCTCTTGATTCTTTTTTCACATTTTCCTTTTTCCTTTCAGAGGTTTCCTTGAGAAACTCTTGACCAAGTCCCCTTCATTTTGTTTATACAAGAGAGCTAATATATTTCAGTAAAAGAGCCCAAAATATTAAGTCTCAATGACAATATTTCACCTGGACATCAACAACTTGAGGAACTGAAGAGGCAAGCAATTTCTTTTAACTCAGGGTTTCCAAAATTCTAGTCTTCCAGATGTTTTGGACCTCAGTTCTCAGAATCCCTGATTATTAACCAAAGCATCTGAGGCATCTGGGAGCTAAAGCCCAAGATTTGAATTTAGGAATCACTACTAATGGACAAATGTGGCTATTTCAAGAGCATGAAATTCTGTCTAAATATGATTTAGAAAATGAGTAGAGAAATGTAGTCCTCTAGATCTTGCTGCGTAGCAGGGTCCCTCAAACTGAGCCAACATTCTGAATTGCAAGGAATGCTGAAAAACTGAAATCTCTCAAAATTAGGAGGGCCACAGTTGTTCATATCTGATTTAGAAAAGAAACACTTCCCCTTGGAGTTGCCCGAGGGTATTCTTGAACATATGCTGGGCTGGGATCTACTGCCAAAAGGGACACCTACATGGACCTATTGCCAATAGCAATGCTTTCTGGGTCCCCCATTTAGTTGGGTCGTGGTTGCATCATCTTTATTAATATGCATATATAACCTATATGCATATTGCCATTTTTTTTAAAAAAAATCTTCATGCCTCAGAGAACATTTTAAACATTGTATTCTGAAAAGAGCTACCATTGGAGTCAGGGTAGGAATTGTGCAGCCCTGCTTTCTTCAGTGATGACCCTGCTTTTTAGGGCCTCTGGGAGTTGCAATCCAAAATATCTGAAGGGCACAATTTCCATGCCTGGTTCAGTCAAGGCTCTCCTGGGTGACAATTTGATCCCGGAGCCATTTTTCAGTATTCCAGAATTCTAGACCACACTATTGCTATAATGTGGAAGACACAACGTCTTGCTCTCTGTAGTTGGATGATCACATCGGTTGTTTCACTTGGGAATCTTACTCTTTCCTAAGACCTTATACATGCAGTGACTAAGGTGTGAGGAATGTATAGAACAACCTCTGAACAGCTGCACCTGGCCTTCAAGATGTTGAGCACAACAATAACTTTCCTTGTTCCTTCTTTAACAGGCTTGCTGGAGAGGGAGTTGGTGCAGTAAACATTTGTAAGTAACATACATATGAATCACAAAAATTCAGTAAGTTATGAGCTTCTTATGTATAATGTCATCCTTCTGATCTCCCTCCTTCCCTTCTGGCAAAAGGTACCCAAAGCCTGCAGAGCCTTCATACCGAAACATCTGCGCAAACCATCACCAGGAATTTGCAAACCATCACCAGGAATTTTATCCATTTTTAAAAAAACCCTTTTAGCTTCTATTGCCATTTTTCAATCTTTTAACTTTGGAATGACTTCAAATACAACTCCAAGTTTGCTCTCAGCTACCCCTGATGGGCAAACCAAGGGTACACAGATGCCATTTGTTTCCTTCCGTTGTGGCTTGATGTAAAATCACCAGACTTGCTTCAAAATTACTCTGTCAGTCAGGGTTCAACCTGTGACCTTCCAGGGTCTCTTTTCTGCTGTACAAATGTAGCAATTTGACTTTCATGGCTAGGGTTTATAGTTTGTTCAGAGGCACCAAGGGAGCTTCCTGGCAGAAGACGCTAAAGGTCCTTTCCTCAGTCACAAGTCCCAAGACTCCAGAGGGTGGTATGACAATTGAAGTGGGATCACACTATGGTATTTCTATAATGCAAATGGGACCCAGTTGTTCTTGGGCTCTTTTCAGTGGACTGCTAACCACGTTTGCTTACTGTTAGCCATTCTACATAGACCCAATGGGAATTATAACCCAAGAAGTTATCCACTTCTGCTTTAGACCTAAAATGGGTTTTGGATGTTTTGGGGCTCCCAGCCAACATGGCCAGCCAGCAGATGTGAACAGAAGCTGTAGACTAACTATATCTGAAGATTTCCTATGCACCACAATTGCCATGAAAGTATAAGCTAATCAGATTGTCCACTAGGTCAGATTTATTGCTGCCTAGTTCACCTTCTTATTTCCAAGAGTGGCAATGAGATGCCTCTACAAACCCCACCAACAGTTCAAGAGAGGATAAGACCCTCTTGCTGTTTTGCATCAACATCTAGTCTTCAGAAGCATGCTACTTGAATCCTAGGAGCGACTCAGTTTAGTGTATTTTCAGTTTAGTGTTGAATATGTAGCTATGTATTTGTGATGCATTGACAGATAAAACAGTTTCTTATTTTTAACAATACAAGGGGGAAAATCTGTCTTTCATGGCATTACAAAGGCAGTTGAGAACACTCTTTAGCTGAAGCATCTAATTCTTTGCCCCATAATTTCTCAGGCAGCCTCTCTGGAAGGTCCTTTATGAAGCTTGTCAGCATTGGCTGGAGAGAAAAGTGGAGGGCACACTTGCAGCCAAAGTAGAACTGAAAGACAAGTGGCAGAATTAGCTAAACCAGCATTTATGAGAGGTGCAAATGCCTGGAGGACTGTTGGGATTCATACCCTGTTTCAAAAGCACATGTAAATAACAGTGCAGGACATCAGCCAATAGGTAATCATATAGAGGGAGAAAAGAAAAGAAATGAAGAGAAAGCTTTACAATGAAACTGGCTTTTGGAGCAGGCTTTTGGACACACACTAAAACATGTAGTTAGCGGTGTAAAATTCTGTTGTGCAAATGCTGATAAACTGGCTGTTTCCCCACTGCCATATGCAGGATCCAACTTTCAGGAATGACATCTCCATCAACCCATACTAAAAAAGGGATTCTTATATGTGACAATCAGTATCTGACAATAATGTATGTGTCAGTTGTGGGCTAACAAGTACAGACTGTTCTGAAAGGGTTGTGTGAAGGATTTGCTTAAGAATGTGTTCTATTGAATTCAGTGGGGCTCTGGAGTAAATGTGCGCATCTCCTTAGCATGCCTTTATGGGCTACCTTTGTAATAAGCATCTGGAAGTTGCTGGCTCTCCCATGTCAATGAAGCTGACCCAAGTGCATAAGTGCAGTCACATACCAACATGAGATGTAAATCTTTGCTTGTTTCATTTCCTAAGTGCAAAAAGAAATCGATCGAGTTAGCCATCCACATTTGTTGGCATTAGGACACAGGACTCTGCTATTTTGTACCTAAAAGAGCACCTCTCTAGGAATCTCTTACATCCACTAGCATCATTCTATGATCAACCTCCATTGGAAGTTAACCACAGAGTCACATTAGAAGAGCTAGCAATTCCTGGAAATAATATTTTAATCAAATCCATGAATAATCAAATTCACAAACATAGAGAGCTGACTATAATTTTAGTTCCACAAAAAAAAAAAAACAAAAAAAACCAGGGTTTTTGCATAAACAGAAAACACTAGTTGTGCTTCAGAACCCCCTTCACATAAAACTCATGTGATATTTTTGTGCAAAGGTTTTGCACAGAAAATGCATATTTTGCACAAAATATACTGATTCACATGCAGAAATATTGTGGATTTTTTTCTTACAGAAAATACACATTAAGGAACCACACATATGTTTTTGCACAGAAATCTGTATTTTCTGCAAACTATGTGAGTCACAAATTTTTAGCTTGCAAGAAGGACTTTTTTGTGCAGAAACAAAATATTTTCTGAGGACAAAAACTACATTAATTCCTGCATTAATCCCCCTATCACACACACACACACACACACAATTCTGAAGTGTAAGGAAGCTTATCTCTGATTTCCCTTCCTTTGGTGGGATATCTCAAGTGTTGTTGTGGCTGTGGCTAGTAGACAGTAGTCTTTCCATCCCTAGCACATGTGCACACACACCTAAAGATGGTGTGATATATTTCCCATCTCTTTATGCCTCCATCACCCACCTATCTGTTTGTTGAGCTTGTTCCATAGCTTTGACTATCTTCACCACCAACACTTTCATTCTCTTTGCAGCTGTTGTCCATTCATCTGGAGGCATGAGCTATGGAGGCGGCGGCAGTGCCATGGGCCTTGCAGGAGGAGCTGGTCTCGGCTATGGAGGAGGAGGCCTCAGCATGGGAGGAACCAGCATCAGCTCTGCTGGTGGAAGAGGGCTTGCAGGGAGCATGGGTTCGGGTAGGGGGAGCAGTTCCAGTATGAAAATTGTATCCAAAACATCTACAACCAGAAAGAGCTATCAGAGCTAAAGGCTTTGGCTGTAAAAATCAGTTAGAGCAGATCCCCACTCCATCCAGAACAAAATCTCTAACTCAACATGTGAGGGAATACCGTTGTCTTTTAGCTGCTTTTTCATTGCAATTTTCATCAGCCTTGACAGGGTAGTAAGTGGTGAGGGATGATGAGTGTTGCAATCCAAAACCAGCTGGGAGAATAAATGTTTTTTATTCCTTCTATAAAGCATGGGACAATTTCTAGCATAGTATGGACTTGGAGGAAAGGGCTGCTTTCTCCCCCAAAGGACTCCACTTCAGCTGTTTTTCTTTTCATGCAATCAAACACCTGAGGCTGTTTTTGCCAGGAGAAAACCAGCTGGAGAGAAGTGCTTTAGAGGTACAAAGTCATTAGCCAAAGAAAGGTTCAATTCACATGCAGCATTCTGGCTTAGTTTGCTGTGTGGTTTTAACTTGGCCCATGCTTTACAGAATTTTTTGCAAGTCTCATTCTAAAATGCAGGTTGTGTTTCCATTAAGTCTAACTTGCTCCTATCCCTCATCTTGTATAAGAAATCCAAAAGCTTCTTGTCAAGTAATTCTTGCTATACATGTGTCCTCATAAAGCTTTCCTAACTCATGTATACTGCTCCAAAGTCTCAGTGGTTCAACAGCCTCAGATCTGGATTTCAAGTTCTCTTCATTCTCAGCTAAAATAGCGCTGCTCTATAACCCACAAATTTTGGATGAAGTGAGTTGCAAATTCCAAAGATTCCCGTCTGTCTGGTATATTTAAAATGTTTTGCATGCATTCTAGCATCCATACTAGGTTCTCTTGTCAACAACTACACTCTTCTACTGAAATGAACAAGATGCCTCTGAGGAGTTTCTCATCTACACTTTAGATCCCATGAATAGCTGAATCTGATTATTTATAAAAGGGCTACTCAAGTTCATACTAAAAAAGGGCCACTCAAGTTCATTATATTTCATCAGTGCGAGAAGCTACAGTTGACCCTGCCAAGCTCTCCAATATGCATGATTCCAGCTTTTCTTGTCAGCATTAATGGCTTTTCACAGGATTTTATTACATCAGGAATATAAATTATCAGGTAATCTAACTTTCATCCTATTCTTGATTTTTAATAGATATGTAATATCTGCTGCTTTTCAAAGATATGGTAAATCTGCATAGTCTCTCCATCAGCAGATACTGTGGTATACCTTACTGAACAACATGCTAGTATTCTGTTTTCATATCTTAGGGGACATTTGCAATTTTCAAACCCTTTAACTAATTAGTAATTAACCTATTCAATGATTTGATTTAAAATCCTTTAAATACTTAATAATTAAACTATTCAATTATTTGGTGAAAAACATCACAACCCACCTAAAGTTAAGCAGGTTAAGTGCTGCTGATGTGAGGAAGTTTCCACCAAATTCCCCTTCCATGGCCAATAGCGAGTGGGGTGTTGAAGGACAAATAGTACAAAAGAGACTACATCATCTATAGCACAACTACAAATCTAGAAATCATTCAGTCTCCAGAAAATAAAGTGAATATTATAAGAGCCAATAATAGTTTTGACCTAAGAAGAGTTAGCTATTAGGGCTGGGCGGTTTCGTTTCGTTAATTCGTAATTCGTTAATAATTCGTTAATTTTTTCAATTACAAAACGATAACGAACCATTCTGGAGCAATTATTTAAAAAAATGAATTTTCAAAAACGTTTTGTAAATGCTTCGTATTTCGATATTGTATTCGTTTCGTTATTGTTTTGATGTCGTTTCGTTATTATTTCCGCATGTCTGGGCCAGTTTTATGGTTTAATTAGTGAAAAAAAATTATAATATCACACCAACAGTCAACAACAGAGGGAGAGGGAAGCTTCAGAAGGTTTTGGAGGTTTTTTAGCGTATTTCGCTGTCGCGTCCGCCATTAACGAATCGATTCGTTATTGTTTCGGAAATCGATTCGTTAATTTTTTACCATTTACGAAATTTCGTAAATATCGAACTTTTTAAAAGGAAAATTTTGTAATTATTTTAAATATCGAAACAAAAAAACCCCCCAAATACAAATCGATTTTAGAAACAAATTTTTCCGTTGTTACCCAGGCCTATTAGCTATTATGGCTACCTTTGGCTGAATCATGTACTGCATATGGAAATTAGAACAATCTATTTTTTCCTTTTCATAAGGCTGGGAAAAAGAAAAAGTTTTCATAGGCATTGTTTGTTCTTTTAAAATACCAGGGGAAAAGGTGGATTTATTATCCTATCACAGAAAATCATCTTTGAAAGATACAGTTAAACAACAGGTGTGCACCTTTTTTGAACTAAGAAATACTTTTGTATAACTTTTTAAAAAAATTCAAAACATTTGAGGATCTTTGGTGTTTCTGGTGGTGGCATGCACATTGCCACCCTTTCCTCTATCTGATAGGGACAGGGTACCAACATGCCTTGTCCTATCCTCACCATGCAATGGGAGAAGGAGGTAGGGTGTATGGGGTGCCTCATGGCACCCCGCGAGACTGCCAGCAAAATAACTGTTTGGACTTGGAGAAACACAACTCATTTTACAATACAGCTATAAAATAATTGTAAATTACAATGTTAGAATTAAAAATATTACAATTATTCAATGTTCTTAATATGCAATCCTAAAATTCAAATATGGAAAAATTACAAATTAGTTTTACCTACTGCTACGTGAGTGTAATATGGCAGCAGAATAAAAAAAATCAGATAAAATCATAAATATGTATCCATAATCAACCCCTTGTCATAAGCAAAATGGTCACATTCGTCAATTGTCTTTAGGCATGTTCATTGTTTGTGCCCTGTAAAGAAGAAAGTTGTAATCAGACTACTGCTCCACTTGTTACTTTGTATTTGCATTGGAGTCTTTCAGTTTTCAAGGAATCTCCTTAATAAATTGCTGTTAACCCAAGATGTGTCCATTGATTATGACTTTAACTTGGATAAGAAACAATTGAGCGGTTCCATGATAGCTTTCTTTAAATATCTTAGGGGATGTCATGTAGAAGGTGAAACACACTTGTTTTTTGCTGCTCCACTACACTTGAACCAATGGGTTCAAATCACAAGAAAAGAGGCTCCACTTAAACACTGGGTAGAATGTTTCTTATAAGAACCATTGAACAGTGGAATAGACTGCTGAAATGAAGCTGGGGAGATTTTCCTGCTTTGGCGGCATTTAAACAGAGACTGAATGAGCATCTTTTGGGAGTGCTGTATTTGTGCATTTCTTCAACATTGGGGTTTGGGATCAATAAGTATTGCCATCTCTTGTAGCTCTACTATTCTCTTCTAGCTCTTAACATGTAGCCTCTATGAAAGCAGAAACATGTTGGAAAGGCAAGTCTGTTTTCCTGAATTAGGCTTAACCCATGATCTTGTCAGTTACCAAGAATCAGCCTTGGCCTTTAGAAAAGTACAAAACTGGTTTATACTATACCAGGCAATTTTTCTCAGTATTGTCAACAATGTCTGTCTGCAGACTATCTGGCATTTCAGGGCTAGAGATGCTGGGACCTTCATTATGCAAAGAATGAGCTCTTAGAAGTGGCTGGTGGATCAGAATGGAATAAGAAAGTGAATCCACTCTGGGTGATAGCCCAGGTTTTAAAGATATGGGATGATATACCATTTTTTCCTTAAGATTCAGTTCTCCACCAGTGATATGGGAGGTACCAACTGCCATTGTGTTTTCCTACTGATATCTTATGACCCCCACTTTAACTGGATCAGCAAATCTTTTCAAATCTCTTCTTAAAAGCCACTGACAATATGGAAAATTTCTCTGGAAAATCATAGCCAGCTAACTGGCACATTGAAAAATATACATTCCATGAAATGGAACATTGGATGGACTCCAGGGATGCCAAGGAAGTGATACATAAAACTCTACAGTACAATTCTTCCTGAAAGTCCACAAACAGGTCTTTCAAAAAGCCAGTTTATTTATTGCAAAGTGATTTTATCACTACCATGTGTAGTTTGGCCATTGGAAGAATGTTTGGACAGCTTCAGAGTAGAGTTGCTCACTGTGTCCCTTGCCATTTAGTAGAACATGTATGGAACCAGACCTTAGCCAGGTGCCCCCTACCCATGTACAACATATTTTTTTTCAGACATAGGGTCTTTTATTTGCTTTGAGAAAAATAACAGCTCATTTGTCCATGTCTGTGAGCCTGCAGTTTCCTGTATATAAGTAAGCATGAATCCAGTTTGGGATTTATGCATAGGAGTAAGTGGGATTTAAATTTCCATACACACGAAGAACTAATTTTCCTAAAGCTCCCTTTCTCAATAAAAGGCAAGGAAAGAAAGAAAGAGAGAGAGGGGGAGGATGGGCATCAATGAAGGCTTTATTTTAACCCTTGCATGGTTCTCATGGTGCATATTTAGGGAGGGAAAGGTGGGAGAATGATTTAAACTTCACTTGTGCATACATAGAGGATCCCAGTCTGGACTAAAACTTCACAATTCTTTGAGGTAAAGGCAAATTAAAAGGCTCTACATAGCGTGGCTTAGTTTTTGGGAACTACTTCTATGACCTGGCAGATAAGGGATAAAATGGATCAGATTGGCACAAGCAATTTTAGGCTGGGGTGGCACAGCACTCATCAGGGCAGTAAGACAAAGTCACTGGCACAACTCACTGTGAGGGTGCTAGAGCAGGTACAACACAAAAGAATCACAAGATACCCGTGAGCATGGGTATCTTGTGTTTCTTTTGTATTACTCAGGCAAGAACTATGGATATATAGACAATTGTCATGTCAAAAAACCACAAGGTATGGGCATCAGATCTAAAACACCAAAAGCCTTACAAGTAAACAAGGCTTGTTTATTCAGAATAAGATGACAACAAACACTCTCACAACGGTGTTACTTCAATTAAGCATGTTGTAGCAAAATCAACCAGTATTGTGTAGTGTTTGAGTGTTGGACTATGACTGTGGAGACCAGGTTTCAAATCTCTTCTCAGTAATGACATCCATTGGGTGACTTTGGGCAAGTCTTTGAGGGTCCTTCTACACAGGCTCTAAAATGCAAAAGAAACAGATAAAAGAGGGGGTGGCCGCAGCTAGATGACATTAGTTGAAAATGTGTGCTGGATTGCATTATCAGTTGAAAAACATGTATTAAAAAGGTGGATTTAAAATCCAATTCACATCACTGAATATGATGTGGGACGTCATTGCTATACATTGGTGTGGACTGCTCCAGAGCATATGTGCATTTTAAAATCTCGAAACAGCTGATGAGGGCTGTAAACAAATGGAGTCATAGACACACAGGTGGCTAAATGCAAGCACAATGAGAACTCTCTGCAACCATTCCTTTGTTCTCATATTTGTGAAATTAAATGGAGCTTGAATGGGCACCAGCATGGCAAGAAAGTGACCCCAAAGGGAAATGGGGTTTACGAAAGCAAACATAAAGACAGAGGAGGCTGAGGAGAGATAATCTGCTTGTGTGCACATTAGAGTTTATGAGGTCCAGCACATCTCAGAGAATCAACAATAATGATGATGAGGATGATGATGATGAATGGTAAACTTCTAGTGGATGTCCTGCGTCCATCTTGTGGATTTCTAAAATCTGCTACAACTGAACCTGTCAGGATGCTGGGGGATCATTTACCGGGACTGACACCTTAGTGTCTGAACTCTTCCTAAGGTCTCATGATTTTTAAACCCACTTCTTTGTCCCGCATTATGAGGCTGTCTGGAAGGACCCTGAGGTTCATCACATTTCCTGTACTGAAGCTAAACAAGCAGCTGATTCTTATTTTGCCACTGAAAATATGGAGCAATGCCTTTAATTGCAGTTGACTAGCTTGGTGATGGAAGACCAGCAACACAACTTCATACCTTTCTCTTCCAAGTTCACGCTATCTTTACTAATAATAATAATAATAATAATAATAATAATAATAAGAAGAAGAAGAAGAAGAAGAAGAAGAAGAAGAAGAAGAAGAAGAAGTTGGGTTTTTTTTTATACCCACCTCCATCTCCCTGAAGGGACTCGGGGCGCCTTACATGGGGACGAGCCCAAACAACATGGCTAAAATACAGCACATTGAAATATATAAACAATAACACAAAACAGAATAAAGCAAAAGCAATTATAACAAAATACAAAAGCAAACATCCCCTGCTTCAGTCAAACCAAGCAACTGCCTCACACTGGGGATTAAATGCATGTGAGGACAAATCATTACTACAGTTTTCTCACAATTAAGGAAGAAAATGCATATTCATTGGAAATATTTTCCTAGTATTTAAGCAACACAATTTGTTGTGGAGGAATTCTTTTGTATAGAAAAAGTATGGGTTTGGTTGTGTATGTGTGTGAGCTTTTCCAGTTTGCCTAACTAAATTTAAAGCAAAGGCAAGTCTGGTTCAGGATTTCTGCATCTTTTCTATCCCCCAGACTGTATACTTAGATATTCTCAGGCAAATACATACACTTAATAGACAAGGCATTTGCTCTTTTCCCACATATAAAATAAAGCAGCCACCCCTTTCCTAACTCACAAGATGCTGAGAACATCAAAGGAGTCCCTTCCTCCTGCTGTTTTAATAATCACTATAAAAATGGGAGGTTTGCAAGTCTAGTTTTTATGGAACTGGATTTCCCTGCCATTAAATGACTATTTACAGGAGATGTACTTTCAAGTAAAGACCACATATCTCTCAGCAAAATGGATAAGCAAATTGGTGAGCTAACACCCCAAGCTAATAAATGCCATTTAAGTGGCCATCTGAGCTGGATTAGACAGTCAAGGGCTACTTATCCCACAAATAAAAAGGGAGAACATTCCTGTTCAGGTTTCAGTGGGAAAGAACCACCACTAGATCCTTTCCAACCTGCTCCCGTACTAACGGGCTGAAGCCACATCAGCTTTCATTCCTCTATCCACCAGCCATCATGTCCTGCCGATCTTATCATGTTAGTTCTAGGGGCGGTGGTGCGGTCAGGAATTACAGTTCATCCTCAGCTGTCTTCCCAAGGAATGTAAAACGCTACAGTGCCGTCAGCACCATCTCATACAAAGGGGGCAGTGGCATTGGTGCTAAAGGGTTAGGCTTTGGGAGCAAGAGTCTTTGTGGCGTTGCATCTTGTCGGCCCAGAATTGCACTTGGTACCTACCAGCCTGTGAAATACGGATACAATTTGGGGGGCCCCGGTCTTGGATATGGCTATGGTATGTCCAGCTTTGGCTATCGGGTTGGTGGAGTAAGTGGACCTTGTCCAGCTGGTATTGCACCGGTCACAGTCAACCCACACCTTCTCCAGCCTCTGCACTTAGACATCGACCCCAGTGTCCAAATGGTGAAGCAACAAGAGAAAGAGCAGCTGAAGACCCTCAACAATAAATTTGCATCATTCATCGACAAGGTGAGTTCTGTGAGATCTCAGGCCCCATTTGTGACAATGTATGTAGACTTTTCAATGGAAAGGTGCACCAATTCTACAAATTTACAAAAGTCAGAAATGTGGATGGACAATGAAATGATTTTTAATAGTAGTTGTGTTTAGACGTTTACATATTGAAATACCTCAGGCAATTTGCAATTGTGTTCAGTTGAGTTTTACTTAGGGAGAGATAATTACTGAATAATTTCTTTGGAGGTGAAAAAATAGAGTAGTTAACTTCTGCATGCTTTTAATTGATTTTAAAATCTATTATGATATTGTTTTGAGTGTTTCTAAATTATATGTCAAAGTTTTCTTTTGCTCCACTCCAGAAAAAAAAACCCAGCACATTAAATAAATAAACAAACAATAATGAAATAATACATAGTTCAGATTGCTGGTTAAGGCAACCAAGTTTTTAAAAATGCTTTAAGGACTAAAACCTCCTGAATTTCCTAACCAGCATAGTCACTGGCAATGCTGGGAAGTATAATGAAAAAAGTAGCCTGTCCTGTGTTGTCTTTTCAAACTAACAGTAGCTCACTAAAGTAGCAGCAGTTGTCTTTGCTATTATCTCCTAGGTAAGAGGAAATTGTTCAGTTTTGTTTTCTTCTACATTTGAAATTGTGTAAACTTCACAAGTTCCTTTCATTCTAAATATGTAATCTGTGAATCCCTTTGCCCAGCACCCTACCTTATCTGCAGATATGCTTCCCCATCACACGTGGGGAAGCATTATTACTCGACTTCCCCCCATGCTGGCCCCATTGTTACCAATGGAACATGCCTCCCATCTTTTGAGGGGAGTGTCCTACCATGCTGTCAAGATGCTTTCTCCATTGAGCACCTCCATAAGTTGTTTTATGTCATGTGATGGCATCCAGCGGGCTCCGAGGAGGAAGCCACCTGGCAGCATGCTATGACACCAATTTCTCCTTGTGTGATAATGAGGTGGTTGGTCTCATATTAGAGTTAAAATAGTCAAAGCCCTGGACTTGAAAGAATGAATCTGTCTTTTTTTTACCTTTAATCTTCCCCTACCCCCAGTCTTAAGCTTTTCTTTCCCCATCTGTAGAAATTTAGAGTTTTGGCAATTTTTTGTTCAAATAGATTTGAAATAAAATGCCCACCCATCTCTGTTATTTACACTCCACTGACTCACTTTCATGGGGTTCCTATGCCCATATTCCCAGTGAATGTGGAGGGCTGATTGTATAATTATATATGTATTTGTGTGTGCACATGTTTGTATTTAAAATATGTTTCCAAGGCTGCATTATGTGGTACCGCATTTCTGTGTACGAACCCACACAATCTCTTCGATCATCTGGAGAGGCCCTGCTTGCACTCCCACCTCATTCACAGGCTTGATTGGTGGGGACGAGGGAGAGGGCCTTCTCAGTGGTGGCCCCCCAAGTCTGGAACTCACTTCCCAAGGACATCAGACATGCCCCCACTCTGGTAGTCTTTAGGAGGAGCCTGAAAAGGTGGTTGTTCCAGTGTGCCTTCCCAGAATAAGGAAAACTCTCGGCAATATGCCCTCAAAATGCACTTTACCACTGATTTAGGACTGACTGCATTCCCCTCATCTCTCTTTGAAAACCCTATATCAGTTATATCCTACCTTGTTCATGCTCAGCGTTATTTTTTAAAAAATTAAGTATTACATTTGGCCCAGCCATAGGTTTTTAAATGCGTGTGTGTTACTGTTTATTGTTTATTATTTATGTGATTTATATTAATTATATTGTATTGATTGTTTTTGTTATGGCTTTTGTTATTGATGTACTGTGGGCTTGGCCTCATGTAAGCTGCACCGAGTCCCTTGGGGAGATGGTAGCGGGGTATAAATAAATTCTTCTTCTTCTTCTTCTTCTTATTATTATTATTATTATTACTCTGGGTACCATAATTATTAAAAAAAATTCAAAGGTAATATTCAGCATTTCACCTGTCCAAATTAAACTAGATTATTTTGGGGAATTGTGATATATAAAGTGATATAACATATAAGTTTGAAAGTGAGCATTCCACAAATTATAAGTACTGATAATAACTAGTGTTATCGTTTTGGGTGGGGGAACTAGGTTCGGTTCTTGGAACAGCAAAACAAGGTTCTAGAGACAAAATGGAGTTTACTGCAAGAGCAGAAGCGAGTCAAGAGCAACATAGAACCCCTGTTTGATGGTTTGATCCATAAGCTAAAGAAACAGCTTGAAGCTCTGGGATGTGATCGAAATAAGCTTGAGTCAGACCTGACTAGTTCAAGGGACATATTGGAAGATTACAGGAAAAAGTAAGTGAAGGTTTATACTTATCTAAGATCTAAGATATCCTCAATTTTATCTGAAAGACTGATCTCATGTTAATGGGGTTATGAATGTATTACAAGGTGCTGAAATTATTTAGCAATAGGTAAATAGATTTACAGATGCAAAATTTACCTATATATTGCGAATAGATTTGCAATATTTTACACTTGGCACATACCAGCTTTCCCGAAACAACCACTAACCAATGAGCTCTATGATATTATTATCATAAAGCTCATTGGTTGTTGGCTGATGTTTGCTTTTATATTTTGTTATAATGTTGTTGTTTTGTTCTGTTTTATTATATGTTTTTAATATGCTATATTTTAAATATGCAGTTTGGGCTCGTCCCCGTGTAAGCCACCCCGAGTTCCTTTGGGGAGATGGAGGCAGGGTACAAAAATAGCTATTATAATATTATTATTTCCTGCTTTTTGGCAGGGAGTTGGACTGGATGGCCCACAAAGTCTTTTCCAACTCTATGATTCTATGATTCTGTAAGATGTATACAATAAGGCATTTGGTTGTCTTATCTGCTAAATACTTTTTCCGCCATCTTGCTGCGCGGGCATCATGGTGCACATGAATGTTTTGGCAGATGCTCTTAAGAGTATCAATAATGCAGAAAAGCGTGGAAAGCGTCAAGTTCTCATAAGATCGTGCTCTAAAGTAATTGTCCGGTTCTTAACTGTGATGATGAAGCATGGTTACATAGGTGAATTTGAGATCATTGATGACCACAGAGCTGGAAAGATTGTTGTTAATCTCACAGGCAGACTCAACAAGTGTGGTGTGATCAGCCCCAGATTCGATGTCCAGCTGAAAGATTTGGAAAAGTGGCAGAACAATCTGCTACCTTCATGTCAGTTTGGATTCATTGTGCTGACAACTTCAGCTGGCATCATGGACCACGAGGAAGCTAGGCGACAACACACAGGAGGAAAAATCCTGGGATTCTTTTTCTAAACTTGTAAAAAAAAGTCATACTAATAAATCGTTCAGATGGACTCTGCAGCCAGTGTCTTAAAAGTAAAAAAATAAAAATACTTGAATGGGTGATTGCCAATGGATACCAGGTTTGTTGCCTATATTTCAGAGGAAGTAACCATCAAAATGACTGCTGAGAATGGGAGTATATGCTAAAAGCCACATTTCCACTGGAAATAATCAAAAAGGTGATAGACTATGACAATCTTCAAGCTACCATAATGATGGCTGTTCTGTTCCACATTCATGTTTTTATTCCATTGAGTTTGAGAAAAGTTACCCATTTTGTTCTTTTACTACAATTTTCCACTCTTGTAGCAGCACTTTAAGAATTGTAACCTTAAAATCTATTTTTTTAATCTTTGTGTTTACAGTATAATAATACGTCCAAACCTGTTCTCTTCTTTACAGGTATGAAGACGAATGTAATCGGCGGACAAGTGCTGAGAATGAATTTGTAACTCTTAAAAAGGTAATAGTTCAACAATCAGTGGAAGCTTTTATTTTTGGCCTTCATTCATACACAGTGCATCCATTTACATTTTACATACAGTCCTCCTCCATATTTGATGGAATTAGGGTGCAAGACCCCTGCAAAAGTGGGTGGGGTAAATTAATTAAATGACTTATTTTTTTTTCAGGAAATAGCACCTCTTTAGGACTCACTAGGTCTTACAGCATGGTGACGGAAAAAATGATTTTAGTGATGAGACGCTGAGGACTTGTATTTTATGGCTTTTATTGTTTTATTGCTTTTATATGGTTTATATTATATGTCATATTTTAACTGTATTTTATGTTGTTTGGGGGCACTGACTGCCAACTGTAAACTGCCTCGAGTCGCCTTCAGGCTGAGAGGGGTGGCATATAAATGTGATAAATAAATAAATAAATAAATAAATAAATAAACAAATGTGGCCACTGCCATGTAATTCACATTATCTGCTTTGAACTGGATCATCTCAGTCTACACTGCCATATAATCCAGTTTAAAGTGGATAATTAGGATTTCATATGGCAGTGTAGAAGGGCCCTGTGAGTCAGTCATATTTATTTATTTATTTAAAAGTTTTGTATACCGGCCTTCTCACCTCTCTTGAGGGACTCAGACTGGTTTCCAACCATGATATCACATACAATCAATAAAACATCATAATACATATTACAGTAAAACATTAAAACAGCAATTACAATCAATAACTATAATGGTCAGTCGTTACACTAAAATCGTTGCTCATCATCCTCCATCCATATCTCAGGGTGTAGGCTCACTCGTCGAATGCCTGTCTCCATAACCAAGTCTTCACCTGTTTCCTAAATGTCAGGATAGATGGAGCGGTTCTGATCTCCAGTGGGAGTTCCAGAGTTGAGGGGCCACCACCGAGAAGGCCCTGTCCCTCGTCCCCACCAGACACGCTTGCGAGGCTGGTGGGACCAAGAGCAGGGCCTCTCCAGACGATCTTAATAATCTTGATGGTTCATAGGGGAGAATACGTTCGGAGAGGTAAACAGGGCCGGAGTCGTTTAGGGCTTTATAGGTTAACACCAGCACTTTGAATTGTGCTCGGAAGCTAATTGGCAGCCAGTGGAGCTGGTGTAACAGTGGAGTGGTGTGCTCCTTGTACCCAGCACCCGTTAGTAGTCTGGCTGCCAAGTGTTGGACTAGCTGCAGCTTCCGGGCAGTCTTCAGAGGCAACCCCACGTAGAGAGCGTTGCAGTAACCAAAGCATGGACCACCGTGTTCTCATACTTTCTCCAGACTGACTTATCTCATAAGGATGCTATGAAGGGAAAGTGAGGGGTAAGTGGAAAGTCCTAAATTGTAACCTTTGTAACCCATAAAATAAGTAATCTAATAATACTTACTACATTTTTGTTTAATGCCTAGGATGTTGACTGTGTATATATGCATAAGGCGGATCTGGAAGGCAAGGTGGAAAGCTTAGTGGAAGAGGTCAACTTTCTGAGGTGTTTGCATGACATGGTAATGGCAATTCCTTTTCAGTATTACATCATGTGTAACTCTACCACCACCAATCTTTGTTCATATATATTTCTTTAAAAAGTAGAACAAACAGGATAAAAAACACAACAGATTAATAATTGTAGAGATATTTTTACATATGAGTTCATGAGCACTTATGGCAGAAAATACCCCATTTGCTTTTTCAGAAGGAGAAATTGTGTTTAAGATGTTCATGTAGCATAACTGTAGAACAGTGGTTCCCAACCTTTGGTCCTCCAGGTATTTGGGACTTCAACTTCCAGAAGTACCAGGTAAATTGGCCAACTGTCTGGAATACTGGGAGCTGAAGTCCAAAACACCCCAGAGACCAAATAGGAACTACTCCTGGAGAACATTAAGAATCAGGGCACATAAGCCTTCCAGAAGCAGCAGTTGAAAGAACTCTTTGTTGTGAGTTGTTGCTATTAAGAGCACTACTTGTTTCTTAAATTTAAACACATGCTTAGGTTAGTTTCTGAGAAGGTGTGTGTGTGTATTTAGTGAAAGGATGAAATTTTAAACACAAATAAATTAATGGTATCCAAATAATTCTGTTAACACTTGCCACTGGGAGCCCACACTGTAATAAAGAAAGCTACCTGGTAGCATCTAAGCCAGAACCTAATGATCTTCACTGAAGATCATTAGGACCTGCCAACCAAGCTTGGCATAAGTCAACGCCAACCCTACCACTAGCTATTGAAGCCATTGCCCAATTTATGACCTCAGATTAATCAAATAAATATATTCTGTGACATGCTAGATCATACCAAAGGTTGGGTTGTTTTAAAAAATTTCATCTGTGCTCCATGCAGGAACTACAGGAGTTGCACTCCTGCATCTCAGATACTTCAGTTATTGTGCAGATGGATAACAGTCGAGAACTGGATTTGGATGGCATCATTGCTGAGGTCAAAGCCCAATATGAGGACATTGCGAACAAGAGCCGCTATGAGGCAGAGTCATGGTATCAATGCAAGGTGAGAGTCCTATTCCTTTGTAAGACCCCCCTCTCTCCTCCAAATTCTTGTATGGGCATAGCACTGATCACATGAAACTGATAAATTAAAAAAAGGAAGTGAATTCCATGTGAAAGTATTGTCTAACATGAACACGGAACCATGAAATGGTGGACAATATTAGCACTGTTTTGAGGTTTCGTTTTGATCTTTTGTCTGCAAATGGGTGGGTTTTTTTACATTATTATTATTGTTTTTCAAATTTAAACAAATACTTAGGTTAGTTTCTGAGAAGGGGTCTGTTTGTACTTAGTGAAATGATGGAATTTTAAACACAAATAAATTAATAGTGTGAATATGTAAAATTAATGGTGTAAAATTAAACATGTAATGAATTTCCTCCCATATGAGTCGATAGGTGAGAGGCATGTTGAAAAGATGGGATAACTTAAACAAGTTCATTTGCCATGTTAATCATTGCAATTCACCAGGGCTTTAGATGTGGCAGCAGTGCCACCAAGGAGTCTGTCCCTCAATGTCCATAGGTGATGCACACCAAACAGTGGAAAGTATGCTCTGTCTCAATAGTAACAGCTCTGGACACTGGAGAGCAAACAAACAATATAACATCTCCATGTCTCATTGCAGCAGTTTGGCTGAACAAAAGAAAGGAAGAAATTTGGGGGGGGGGGGGGGAAGCTGCACGCAAAAGATTACTGGAGGGGAGAAGACAGAAAAATAACTCATATCAAGATGGAACTTGTATGATCACCTCATCCCTTGATCCTATAACTGTAACTTTAGAATACTTTAGCAAATCCAAAAACGATTGTACCAAAAAACAAACAAAATAGAAAATCAGAGGATTAGGACAATAGCATAGACCGTTAAAGACTCTGACTCACTCAGAAATGATTGCAATGAGATTTTTCACACTGCATCTTTGTTTTTCCAAGTACGAAGAGATGAGGGCAACAGCTGGCAAACATAATGACCACCTACGTGACACCAAGAATGAGATCATGGAGTTGAACCGTGTGATTCAAAGACTGAAGGCCGAAATTGACACTGCCAAAGGCCAGGTAATTCTGGTTTTGCTTTCTGTGTTATTAATGGCCTCAGAATTATGATTTTTGCTGATAATCACAGAAGACTTTGGGGAAGTAGTGAGTCAGAAATAGTAAAAGGACATTTATAATAACATAATCTCAGTTAATCTTCTGCAATAACAAACTATATTGTCCCAATCTTAAACCTCCTAAATAGGATGGTTTAAGCTATACACTGGGATTTCAGCTTGTGCAGCACACTTGCTTAACAGAGTTCATTCAAGATGTCATTGTATAGTACTTTTTGATAGGTATTTTTTTTCTCTTGCCCTATCCCAGCTGTGGACTATTCATTCTGCAACCAGAATGTCACATTTACCCATGACGGTTGTATTGTAGGGCCCAATAGCTGAAAATGACTGTTCTCTCTGTAGCGTAGCAAGCTGGAGGCTGCCATTGCAGAAGCTGAGGAGCGAGGAGAGATGGCTCTCAAAGATGCCAAGTGCAAGCTGACTGAGCTGGAAGATGCCCTCATAAAAGCCAAGGCAGACATGGCCCGCCAGCTGAGGGAGTACCAGGAACTGATGAATGTCAAGCTGGCCTTGGACATTGAGATTGCCACTTATAGGAAGATGCTGGAAGGAGAGGAAAACAGGTATGTAATTGTCTTGCATCTTTCTCCTAACTTAGGACTCAAAATGACTTGGCTAAGTTAGGGCTAAAAACTATTGCAACTTTAACTGCATCCATTTTCTTTATGTGTGCTTGTTTTATTTGCATTTTGATATATACCAAGCTAATTTATACCCTCAGAACAAATATATGATGCAGAATATGGATTTCTTCCTCATTGCACACTTTTTTGAATTCCGTGGTTAGAAAAAATGCATGCAAAATGTATATATTAGAGAAAATGGTATGCACAAATGTTATACCTTAACATATGAATTTTGGTATGCATGCATTTTAATGCATACCCTGGGTCATGTGTGTCAAAAATCCACCTTGCTTAATATGCATGCTAAAATGCATGTATTGAGCGAACCATTTACAAAAAAATTTATAATGGAATTAGGTAGGTGAGCATTATCCTAGAGAACAGGATCAGGATCCAAAATGGCCATAACAGATTGCAGAGCTAGGGAAAAATTAACAGAATGAATTTCCAAAAGGATAACTGATGGGTATTACAATTAGACAGTAAAAATGAAATGCACAAATATAGGATGCTTGATGATAAGACATGTGAAAAGGATCTAGGGGTCTTATGGAAGGCAACCCTAACATGAGTCAATAATATGTCACAAAGGTTAATGCATCTCTGGTCTGCATCAATAGGAATATAGTTTTCAGCTCAAGAGATGTAATAACATCATTCTACCCAGTTTTAGGGACCTCATCTGGAGTGTTTTGTCAAGTTATGTACACCACAGTTAAAAAAGATTGTTGACAAGCTGGAAAATGTTCAGAGGAGGGCAACCAAGATGGTACAGGATTTGGAAACCAGGTTCTATAAGGAATGACTTAGGGAACTGGGAGGTGAAGAAAAAGAGGATTGGGAGGTGATACTATAGCCATTTTTAAAGCTGTGAAAGAATGCAGTGTTGAAGATGGAAGATTCAAATTGCTAGAATTTTAGGAAGAATTTCCTGACAGAACTGTTCCACAGCTAAAGAAGCTGCCTCAAAACTTTTTTTGGAGGTCTGGAAACAAAGCTTAGATTACTATTTTTTTAATACTTTGATGGTATATTGGTTTTTTCCAACCCTATGACTACATTATTTTTAAGTTGGACTGTTACCAGAAATTATCAGTGCAGAAATGGGAATTAATGAATCTGGCATCACAAGTTGTAAACCAAAATAAATATAATTCTTGGATTTAAGCCTCTTAATAGCAACAACTCACAACAAGGAGTTCTTTCAGTTGCTGCTTCTGGAAGGCTTATGTGCCCTGAGTCTTCTCTGATCTGTCCCTAAGGACTCTGGATTCATCCAAAAACAATTTAGGCAAAAATAACCTGGAAAAGCTAGAGCAGGGACAAGCTCTGGAGACTGGCCCCATCTGGTGAGTCACATGAATGCTACCTGGCCAAAAGAAATACAATATGCGTTGTGAAATAGACATGTGAAATGTTTCTATTTTTTTAAACAGATTGTATGCGGATTCCTGTCCAGTGAATATATGTAAGTAGTCTTTTGGTTACTTTCTCCATTCTCCACCTCAACCTGATCTTTATTATCAAACTCACACAGAATTTTCATTTTTGGAAATGGGTTAGACATTATTTGGTTTTCTTCTTCCTGCAGCTGTCTGTCGAACCCAGGGTGGATTGGTGTGTGATCCTGATCCTAGCATTGGAGGAGGATATGCTTCAAGCAGCAGAAACTTTGTCAGAAGTGGAGGCATTGTGAGCAGTGGAGGAGGGGGAATGTGCAGCCCTGGCCTTGGGCGAAACCTCTCAGCAGCCAGTTGCATTGATCTGGGGGGCCCTGGGCTGCCCACCGGTGGATACAGCACTGGGAGTGCTAAAAGCTCTAACGTCAAGTTTGTGTCGACTTCCACATCCTTTAGAACAAAATATTAAAAATGAAATACCGTAAAGGCAGCTCATTCTGAAAGAGAAACTTTGTGCTTCAGTGGGGATAGCTGCAGCCTTCCAAAAAGTGCAGGGGGGAGGGCTATTTGCCTATTTCTTTCTGTTGCCAGTCATAAACAGCTGGCTACAAAAATGAGTAGACTTTGTCCAATTACTGTAGTGCACATGTATTTGTTTGCCAATGCTTTTTGCCAGGGCTTCTCTTTCTGCTAAACCCAATGGAGACTGGAAGCCTGAACCCTGGCAAGGGAATATAAGGAGTGGGGCATCAGAGAATTATTTTGGTTTCTCCTGAGCTGTTCGCAAAGAAGCATTCTTTCAAGTCCCTAGGTTTCCCCCAAAATAAGGAACCCTGCTGCTGTTTGTTATAAGGCAGGCTGTGGCTCAATGTGGACTGCTTGGCCCATTGAGTCTCAAATTGCAAGTAATATCCTGAAATCATTGTGCATATATTATGGAGTGAATATACATGTGGAAATCTATCTTTCCCCCAGTATATGCACTATTTAGTCAGTTAGCACCACTGCTTAGCAATTGCACTTCTTCCTCACTTTTTGAGTAGAAATGGGGCTCTCTCATGGATGAAGTCCTACCGCTATCTCTGTGGTTTGTATTTCTCTTTGGTTTAAGTTCTATATTTCTAATAAACATGTTCAGCATAGTGCTTCCAATGCAGTGAAATCTTAGCTTTGTGAAAAGATGTATGGATACCACTGCTACATTGCTACTGTTAGATCAGATTTGCCTGGGACCTAATGTGACTTTGTTGTTCCTGTATGCCTTCAAGTCTTTTCTGATTTATAGTAACCCTAAGGGGAACCTATCATGTTTTTTATTTTGGTAAAATATGTTCAGGGGCATGTGTCTTTTGTCTTCATTGGAGGCTGAGAGAGTATGACCTGATTCAAGTCAGACAATGGTTTTCTATGGCTGAGCAGGGATTCAAACCCTAACCTCCAGAATTATATTCCAAGCAGATAATACTGACCTCATTCTGCGGTTGTGGATCTCTATGTATTCAAAATGACACCATTCATTTTTAAGAAAGAGATGGCACCACAGAAGTATAACAAATAATTCAGGAAAGTGGGGGTTTACAGAAATGGATCCCAGACAGCTCAATAAGGACTGAACATGAGACAAATTATGTGTACATTAAACCATCAGAAAGCAAAGGTGTTGCTATTTCTCAACCTGGAGGTCAGGACCCCTGGGAGGGGTCATGAGGGGATGTCAGAGGGGTCACCACAAACCATCGGAAAATACAATATTTTCTGTTGGTCATGGGGGTTCTGTGTAGGAAGTTTAGCTCAATTCTGTCATTGGCATGTTTCAGAATTCTCTTTGAACTATACATTCAAGCAACTACAACTCCCAAATGCCAAAGTCTATTTTTCCCAAACTCCACCAGTGTTGACATTTGAGCATGTTGAGTATTCGTGCCAAGTTTGGTTCAGATCCATCATTGGTTGAGTCCACAACACTCTCTGGATGGAGATGAACTACAACTCCAAAAGTCAAGGTTAATGCCCAGCAAAACCATTCCAGTATTTTCTGTTAGTCCAAATATTCCAAAAGTCCAAAATTATCCACAAGCCAACCCTTGTGGATAATTTTGGACTTTTGGAATATTTTGGATTTCAGAATTCTGCATAAGGAATGCTATACCTGTATTGGAAACAAGAAATTATCTGATCATGAGATTTGGACAGAAGGATTAAAAAAGAAAGAAAACTTGAAAAAATCAGCAAATGCTCAATCAGGCACACATATCAATTACTATTATAATCTTGGAAAACAAGAGAGAAGCCATGTTTACTATTTTGTAGTGTTTTTGTTGGTCCTAAAAACTCTTTGTAACCTACATTTGCCCAAATTTGATTGCATATACCAATAGCCTTTTACTGTAAAGGTTGACTGGCATATCCATCCAGGCTGGTGTACATGTAGCCATAAAACTGTTAGTAAAGTTATGCTAATATCCCTTCGAATATGACTAACAGTGCTGGTTCCATTAGACCTGTGCTACTTAAACTGGTGGTCTATAGACTAATGACGTCCATAAGCCATTTCCTGTTGATTCCCAGTAAGTATCAGAGAACTAAGTGAATGTGATAACAGAAGTTTAACATTCCTTATATAGAATTCTAAAATCTAAAAAACTCCAAATTCAAAAAAATATCTGAATGGGTGATTGAGATGATGGCACCTTTGCTTTCTGATAGCAAATTGTACAGAAACTTTGTTTTATGCACAAAATTCTAAAATGATTGTGTATAATATGTCCTTCAGTCTATGTGCATAAGATATATTTGAAATAGAAACAATATTCCTGTTTAGATTTGGATCTTATCTCCAAGATAATGTATAAGTAAGTATTTTAAAAGCTAAAAAAAACCACACAACCAATCCTGACATATGGAACACTTATGGTCCCAAACATTATGGATAAGGGATACACAACCTGTAATATTGTACAAATGCAGCATCAGTACGCATCTAAAACAATGCTGTTGTAGCAAGGGGACATATTGCAGGTTTTCACCACATGACCCTGAACCTTTTGTTTTATCAACACAGCTCAAGAGTGAGATAAACTACTGCAGTTACTACTTTGCTTAGGGAATGTCAGAAAGTGCTTTAGCAGTGCCATTCTAGTTGAAAGATGCGTTGACATAAATTTGGTGACTGTCTTTTGCTGGCACAAATCTGATGCTGGTACCAGACTCAGGGGTGTCCTGCCAGCAGGACCCCTCCACTAGATATCAGCAAAAGAGCAAAAAGGAGAAAAATGTGGAGGGGGGGGGGCGGCTGAGAAGGAGATGGAAGAATTGAACACAAGATATCACCTTTCCCAGGCACACAGCTATAATGCCAACACAAAGCTAGGTCCAGGCAATTTAATGTCCATTTACAATTCCGTTGAGGGTTTGAATTTAGACAGGCTGAAATAACCTAAGTATGATTCAACTGAACAGCAGAAAGCTAACATGGCACTTTTGATCAGGAAGTTTCTTCATCAGAAAATATATTTCATTTGAGGACCAGAATTCTTTCTCTCCCTCTTTCTCAGTCCACAAAATATTCATCTTTTTGTCTCACTCTTGGCAACAACTTGAGGGACACTTCTGTTGGCAGTTTCAGAAGTCCTTGTTTTTTAGTTTTCTATCATATACTCTTTATTTTCTACATGGAGCCACAGATAAATTAAGCTAGGGACACAGAGCATATTGTGGTGTTCTTAGTCATTTCATGACATGAAGCTTTAATGAGGGACAGGTGAAGAGGAACACGAAGAGCCTCCCTCATCTCCAGCATCTCCAGGGCCACTTTTTGCGGTGACACTGCTTCCAGGGGTGGCTTTATCACTGTCACAAACATCTTTGCTGCTGGGCTTGGTTTCACATGGAAGTTTGCGCCCTGATCCATGACGGAAATTGCCATCACCGACAATTGCACCCTCACTTCTTTGGACACCTGAGGAAAAAGTTTGCCATACATTTTCATTCTGTAGAGAACCCAGACTTGTTTTCCTGTTAGAACAGTGGCTCCCAACCTTTTTTTAACCAGAGACCACTTGACCAGGAATCACTTAACCGGGGACTACTTGAAGGGAGCACTTTGATCAGGGACCACTCCCCAACATTAGTACCAAAAGGGTTACAAATCAGTTTTGGTCAACTTCAAATTTAGTTTGGTTATTTGGGATGCTGATTCAGAAAATTGCATTGGATAGACCACATCAACTCTAGTTTCTGATTCAGAACACCTGCCATCCAGTAGTTGCCATCTGCTTGCCCACAGAAAACCATATTTAATAAGCCTCTGCACTATTAGAGGGTTTTGCGAGACAGTCACTCTCATTGCAACAGTGTAGCAATGGCAAGGCTGTGGACCATAATTTAGTTCTTGCAAACTACAGGTTGGGATAAAATACACACTCAAATTGAATCCTCCAAAGGGTTCTATTTGGTGATAGTCCACTGAGCTAAATATGTAGATTTATATAGGAGAAAGACCTATGGAGGTTTGGGAATCATAATTAACAGCTAAGCCTTGAACTTCCATGTTCAAAGCCAGTACATCACCGATTCAACATAACTATTAGTTATACTAAGATAGTAGCAATAAAATAATAATAATAATAATAATAATAATAATAATAATAATAATAATAATACAAAGAACTGGCAGGATCACAAGATGGAAAAAGTTACAGAAAATGAACATGTCAAGCTACTCTGGGACTTCTGAATTCAGACAGACAGAGTTTTGGAGGACAATACTCCTGACTTCATGATCGTGTTAAAAAACAAAGTCTGGACTGTCGATGTTGCAATCCCGGTGACAGCAGGATTGAAGAGAAACAACTGGAAAAGATGACACAATATGAGTATTTAAAGATCGAACTGCAAAAACTCTGGCACAAACCAGTAAAGGTGGTCCCAGTGGTGATCGGCACACTGGGTGCAGTGCCTAAAGACCTTGGCCTGCACCTAAACAAAATAGACGCTGACAAGATTACCATCTACCAGCTGCAGAAGGCCACTTTACTGGGATCTGCATGCATTATTCGCCGATACATCACACTGTCCTAGACACTTGGGAAGTGTCCGACATGTGATCCAATACAACAGTCAGCAGAGTGTCTGCTGTGGAGTTTCAAAATAAATAAATAAATAAATAAATAAATAAATAAATAAATAATGCATATCAAAAGCTAGTAAACTCCAAATTACATGTAATTGTTAGTTATAATTTTCAAAACGCATAATAGAAAGCATGGGATCTCCTTATTTGGAGTCAAGGCAATGGCAAAATTGTCTGAGTATTCCTTACCTAAGAAAATCCAATGAAATTAATGGTATTGCCATCAGCTGATTGAAGGACACACACGCACAGCCCACAATCATAAGTGTTGGGAAGAATCAAAAGATGCCTATTTCCACTAAGGCCTGTTTAGGATTTATGCTAGGCTAATGCTAGATAAAAATATGCTTGACCAGATACAGATTCGATCTCATCTAGCAAAACAGTTCTTATATCCCCAAGCCAGCGAACAGGTGATCAGTTTGTGCTTCTCCCACTTACTTTTTCTTTACCCAATAAAGAAATTTCAAGGAAATCAAATGAGCCTTTGAATTTAAAACTTTGATGCAACACTTTGATGTGGTTGAAAAGAAAACAGTATTTTTGAAGGAAATAGGTATACTGTGGCAATTTCAGATGACATTCTGATACAGCCTATTCGGCACCGTTTTAGATGGAACATTCTGACATTTGTGAAAAGAGTGAGAGGAGTCTTCTTCCAAGCCCCAACTTGCAAGTGTTTGAGTTACAACCTCATCACACTGGGCTAAAATAGGCGGCATGCACTGATTTTAGCCCAGGTCACCAACAGAGCTGTCTGGCTCCCATCACATGATGCCTTGCTAGCGTTGTGGGTGACCTGGAATAAAATCAGCACATGCCACATGAATTATAGTCCAAACACATAGAAGTCACCAGACAATCACAACCCTACAGTTAAATATGGCAGAACTGTGAATGACATTATTTGAGATGGAATTGTAAATATGTGTAATGTATGAGGACATTTGGAAGTGCACTAGGAAAAGCTTGATCACACACCCATCCATGTCTGTTCAAACCACCCACAGGCTGTGCAGTAGTACATTCTACCCAGCCATGTGTTAGATAGCACATTAGTCCATAAGCAACTTACATATGTTCACTGCACGGTCTCCTCTCTTCAACCTAGTGAGAGATGGGGGAAAAAATAGAAGAGTGTGGGAGATCATTGGTTGCTTCAGGTTGTTTTTAGGACACATACAAATATGGATATTCTTCCCTAATTTCCTGAAGCTGGATGACACTCAGTCTAATAAATGAAACATATCTAATGAAAAGCAGCATGTTTGGGTTACAACCTAGTTTGAGGGAGTCCTGGATAAGATTCCCTTTACCTTTTTTCCTACTGCCGTAATGATACCTCCCACTTCCTAGTTTAGGCTACCTGGTGGGATTTTTCCTAGTTTTTAAAAGTAGAATAACTAGAAAAGTAAAGTCCTGACCAAAGTTCCGTGGCTCACCACTGCTGTGGAAAAACAGAAAAAGAAATATTGAAAGCGGTGAGTAAGGAAAGGGAAGCTGACAATGGATATCACCCCCAGTCACCCCCTCCCAACTACCCAAAGTTGGATTGAGCCCTGTACAGCTCTTAGAAATGATATTTTATCTGTGATGGCTTTTCTGCACATAAAAACACAGCTTGATGGTATCTGAGTGATATGTATGAAGCGCACTTTCAAAGATCTCACATATGAAAAACTTAAGCTAAGGCATAGCTGCTCAGCAGTAAGTTCCATTCTGTTCAATGGGATTTGCCCACAGATAAGTACAGGCAAAGGGTTGCAGTCTTCAGGACTTTTAAAAACAACAGAGTTGCATTCAAGCATAGGATGCACAGACAGAGGCGGCCCTAGGTAATTTTCAATGGTAAGCAAACAGTATTTTGCGCCCCCCCCCCCAATGATATATATTTTCTGTTCGTCCCACAACCAATCACTGATATATATTTTCTGTTCGTCATAGAAGTTCTGTGTGTCATATTTGGTTCAATTCCATCATTGGTGGAGTTCAGAATGCTCTTTAATTGTAGGTGAACTATACATCCCAGTAACTACAACTCGCATATGTCAAGGTCTATATCCCCCCAAGAGCGCCTCAAGAGCGCCCCTGGGCAAAATCAACTCTACTGCAAAGGCTTACTTTGCGTTATGGTTGAGCCGCCCCTGTGCACAGAAGAAAAGAAGATTCTGAAGTTCTAAAAGTGAAAACACGGATGAAACAAAGATTGCATTTGAATACTGGGTTTTTTGGGAGATAGTCTGTAAAACTGACATTTTAAATCTCACCAATTTTAAAGGCTGGATTTCAACTGAAATCTAAAATATCCGGCAGGAGAGAACAACCCTCCAATGGCAGTACTAAATCCTTTATTTACATAAAGGTATTGTTTCAATGTTCAGATGTCTGGGTTCAAACAAATGAAAAAGCAAGCATTAAGGAAACTGGTCACATATTAATTTTTCTGAAAATAATTCACCTTACCTCAATTAAAATTAGTGGTGACAGAATTGTCAGTGGGTCTATAAATCTGCTCTGGGTTTTAGTCTGAGATTTAAAGGACTGACCCCCCCCCCCAAAAAAAAAACAAACTATGAACAACAAATTTCAAATTAATTTCATAGGCGGCCTAAAAATTACACTTACCAACATTCCTCTCCTTCTATTAGCTTTCTGTAAAAAAAGATAGAAAAAAATCAGTCTTGCTTTTCTTACATCCAGTTTAAAAAAAACATGAATTTTTTCTATCTTAAATATGAAGAAATCTGACTTTTAGAAAATCCTTCTGACAAAGGTCTGAAACAATACATTTCCCCAATAATTCACTGTTTCCCAGCATTAAAACATGTCGTACTTGCCAGCCAAGTACTTGTTAAATACAACTACCATCTGAGAACTGAAACGTGGCAACCCTAAACAGAATTAGCATAGTTGAATACCCCTGAACTCAGTGATGATATAGAGTTGAGTGGAAGTTTTGGTCTCTATAGATGAATCCAACCCTACTGCGACCATGCTTCTGTATTCTAGCATTTCACAGCTGGCATGCATCTTTCCTCATGAAAGTATTATTGGGCCGCTTCCCATTTCTTTGATATTTTTTATTGTTCTAAAAGGTTGAAGAGCATTGTAAAACTTAATGCTATTTAGGTTTTAAAGACCCGAAATCCTCAATCTGGACAGTTACTTCTATGCTATATATTTTTTATTTATTTCTAATGTGAATAAGAAAAAAAAGATTGCAAATTAAATTCTCAGCAAAAGTAAACAAAATAAGTTTTCATTCATCCTTACCTGTAAGTAGCAATCTCAATGTTGAGAGCCATCTTGACATTCATCAGGCTCTGATATTCCCGTAACTGGCAGGCCATGTCCTGTTTTGCTTTGTGCAGGGCCTCCTCCACATCACTCAATTTGCACATGGCATCCTTCACAGCCGTCTCTCCATGTTCTTTAGCTTCAACCACCTCATCTTCCAACCTGCAACGCTGTGGATACAGAGCATATAGGTTATTTTCCCATGGATCCTGGAAGGGAAAACTGAGGAACCAATCCCAAGTAATTTTTTCCTTTCGCATTACTATTAGCTTTTAATCAATCAATCAGGACCAGATTACATATTATGCAGATGTAAGATGACACATCGTTCTTTACACAGGGCAGGTCCCATCATTGAGCAGAGTGCAGCAGCCACCAGAAAGGTCAGCAACTGTTCAGTTATTTAATTTGCTTATATTGACATTTTACTGTCAATTAGGAGAAGAAGGACTTGAGGAATTTCCTGTCTCATCTGCCTTAATATCATGGCCAACTTTGGGTATATCTTGAAACAAAGTGAATTCAAGTTGAGTATGTATTCTTAGGGAGCACTTAAATATCCAACTGAGGAGGAAGGCGAGCATGACACCCAGTTCCATGCTGTGGTGAGTGGTATGTAGGCCAAAGCTTTTGGTTATTGGAGCCACATATAATGAGAATGGACAGGAATGGCCCCTATAAGGAAAGAATGTGTGTTTCATATGAATCTGTCATTCTGTAGTTTTCAAATATGTTGAAGAAGTTTCTCACATCTTTTCCTCTTTTAATATTTGATATTAGGATTTTATGATCATGCATCTGGTGATTTCATAGGAAATTCCTTCAACTCACCTGAGTCTTGATACTTGTGATTTGTGATTCCAGTTGGTGAGCAGTGCGAGTTAGAGCCTGAATTTCTTCCTTGATATTATTCAGGTTGTCATTGTTCTTTGCTGCTGTAGTCTTGAGCTCTTGATACTATTGTGAAATACAAAAGTATTGGAATGGGTCACAGTTCCAAGATGTTTCTGGAGGAGAAGGCTAAGTTGTGCAATGGCCAATCTTCCCTTCAGTTGCTTACCTGATGCTGGAGCCAAGCTTCAGCCTCAGCTCGAGTTCGGGATGCAATGTATTCATGCTGACGCCGGAATTCCTCAATGGTGTGGTTCAAATCTAAGGCTCTTCTGTTGTCTACTTGAACCATGACACAGGTCTCAGAAATGGAGTTCTGCAGCTCAGAGATTTCCTGCAGTGACACAGATTGCTTTTGTTATTTTCAAGCCAGACTCTCTCCACGATTTCCCGACATCCATCCCAAAGTAAGTCGCTGGTAGCCTTCTCTTCCCTTCTTTGGTGGCTGCAACACAACCTTAGTAAAACTGTATCTACTATCACAATGGACTCTTGGATAAGAGGAAAACACCCACTTAACCCTGGGCATTGTCTTTAGCCCACATTTTGAATCATGAATAAGAAAAGGGAAAAAAACCACTTTTAACATGATCTAGTGTACACTTGCCAGATTATTACAAGTATCCAACAGTATTTTAATTTTTCCAGTTAAAGATGTGTGTGGAAATATTTACATTATAAAAATGTGTTTATAATGATACGAAAATATAGGAAAATTGTGTAAAAAAAGGTATCTATATTGGAGAAATTGCATTCAGGAGGTACGTACATATTAGAGGAAATGTCTTCCTCCTGCTGACTCCAGTGCTACTAATCACTAACAGTTCCCAAAAGATCATTAGTAGGGAATGTAATTCTCCTCATCCCACAAGAAATGTCTACATATCTCAAGGCCCTTGCACTCTACACAATAATAGCAACGTGATACCACTTTAATTTCCATGGTGTGTCTGTGTGGTTTGGTCCAAGACATTAGAGAGGCCCCATCCACACAGCTGTATAAAATCCAAACTGAACTGGATTATATGGTTGTGTGGACTCAGATAATCCAGTTCAAGGCAGATATTGTGGATTATCTGCATTGATATTTTGTGTTATATGGCTGTGTGGAAGGGCTTAGAGGATTCTAAAGGCCCCTTTCTCCACTGCCAGTCCCAGGATTTTATTTGAATGGAATAATTACTGTTAAAGCAAAATCACAGTACTATAACTAGTTGAAAGGGCTCTCACTGCAGGGCACTCAGGAGCCTATTTGCACAACTCTCCATGAGTGGCTTTGCTTTTACTTTTGCTTGGATGACAACCTATTTCCCCAATGATGCTGGACTGTGACTCCCTCAGCCTAATCAATAATGCAGGATAAAGAATGTTCCAGTCCACCATCATCTGGAGAGTGACACTTTCCATATTCTGTTCACTATTGAGTATGCCCATGTTAATCCGCTCAATGTACATTTATGAGAAATTATCCACGTCATCACCCTGGTCTTCTCAAATGTCATAGGATGCTTGCAGCACAATTAATCTACGGAGCCCCATGCTGCCCATAACATGATGTACAGTCACTTCTGGTGCGGAGCCCCCAGTGGCGCAGTGGGTTAAACCCCTGCTGGCAGAACTGAAGACCAACAGGTCGCAGGTTCGAATCCGGGGAGAGGCGGATGAGTTCCCTCTATCAGCTCCAGATCCTCATGCGGGAACATGTGAGAAGCCTCCCACAAGGATGATAAAAACATCAATTCATCTGGGTATCCCCTGGGCAACATCCTTGCAGATGGCCAATTCTCTCACACCAGAAGCGACTTGCAGTTTCTCAAGTCACTCTTGACACGGCTCCATAGATGAGCTGTGCTACAAGGGTCCTATCATGCTCTGCCCAAAATACGGGAGGCTTCCTGTTACTTTTATAGGAAGCAATGGGGCCACATGATGGGGAAGTGTTGCTGCAGGCGATGCCAGGTGCAGGGGCAACAGGATTGCCTTGCTGTGTCAACATGGAGGGTGGCGAATTCACCCACTGCCCCTCATCAATGTGATGAGGTCCTTGGTCAAGACTAAGTCCACTCAGGAAGGCCCAAGGCTAGCAAGACAAGCAAAACACATACACACACACACAAACACCACACAATCCAATGCAAAAGACTTCCTAGTTTATTGTTTTAAACATCTTTTTATGGAAACTGACTGGAAAAGTTAATATAGAAAAAGAAAATCACCTGTGCATATATATGTTTCAAGAAGCTGATATGTTTGGCCAATTTTTCTACCTTGGCCTCCAATTCTGCCTTGTCTGCAAAGGCAAAGTCCAAATCCTGCAAGAGAAGCAAACCAGGGAGTTTTACCAGAGTAGATCTCTTTGTCAAGGTTAAGTCAGGAAAGAATGAACACAAATGTGGGTCTGGGCATAAAGTATATACATAGAAAACAGAAAATTTGTCAAACTTAAGGAAGGAGCCATTTTACTTTGCAGGAGACATATGAGAAAAAGTATATATTTCCTGAACTTTTTGCACAGAATCAAGATTTAAGAAATAAACTTTGCATGGACCAATGAGGACATTTTGAAAATATAAAAGTTAAAATGAATGGAAAAAAACTAAGGAGAAACAATTTTGAAGGTTCCAAAAAAATAAAGTGAAAAAGTAAACACACACATTCAGGGAAATGAGTGAATTTAAGTGTGGGAATCAAACACAAAATCTAGAATCAAAGCTATATAAAACAAGAAGGGGAAGAGAAGGCAAATGTCACTAGAAAAAGCTTTTCACATCTTTGTGTGTATTTGCGAAGTACCACAGAAGTATCATGTAAAATAAAATTTGTGGTATTTTTTTGTCCTTCTCATGAATCAACATATCAGACAAATCTGAAGAAAAGTCAAAAACACTACTATAAAATTGTTGAGTTCTTTGGAGAACTTTAGAAATTCATGCAGGTTCTAGTCCCCACCCTTTAACCTAAACCCGGGCTTTGCCAAGGGGTGGTGGCGGCTATGTGCCATCCTTAGTCAAATCAGGGTGGCATAAAGCTCCCCACCCCAAGCCCTCCTGGCATGAGAAAATGATGCATCAGGAGGAGGGAGGAGGTAAATCCCTTTCCCCCCAACCTCCGGACACATCATTTTCTTATGCCAGGAGGACTGTAGGGAGAGGCCTGTGCTGCTGACAGGTCTTTTTAATAAGTTTTGGGACCCAAATGGGAGGTTGGAGGGGAGTAGGTGGGCACCCTCTTGCAGATGGCTGTGGGAACTTACCCCTAGTGTTGCAGAACGTAACCCCAGAGGCCAGTCCTCACAGACCCAATACCTCATTAGAGCCAGGCCTTTCAATAAGGCCCAGATCTAATGAGGTATTTAATTAATATGGAGTAAACCAAGAAAACCTTGGTTTATTCTGCATTAATTTGTTTTTACCAGAGGTGTCGTTTGGATGCCTCTGGTAAACTGAGACAAGTCCTGTATTTTGGGCATGTTGGGATTTACCTCCTCCCTCCTCCTGATGCATCATTTTCTCATGCCAGGAGGGCTTGGGGTGGGGAGCTTTATGCCACCCTGATTTGACTAAGGATGGCACATAGCCGCCACCACCCCTTGGCAAAGCCCGGGTTTAGGTTAAAGGGTGGGGACTAGAACCTGCATGAATTTCTAAAGTTCTCCAAAGAACTCAACAATTTTATAGTAGTGTTTTTGACTTTTCTTCAGATTTGTCTGATATGTTGATTCATGAGAAGGACAAAAAAATACCACAAATTTTATTTTACATGATACTTCTGTGGTATCCCACCACATATGAATCTAACTTGAGTTCAATGTGATTTACTCATGAGTAAATAGATACATGATTACCATAGACCTGCTTTTCTGTTAGCAAAATCTTAGAGCAATTCTGAAGAAGGTACAAAATAAAGGCTCATTTTCTAGCAGGATCCCAAGCAGAACTAAAGGTAAATAGACTGAGACTAAGGGAACATAAAAATCCAAAATGGCAATAAGTCAGGCATTCTGGGATGTCAAGACACCATACTACACATCCAAAAAGTTGTGTGAAGAGGCCCACTGCTCGGATATATGCAAAAGTGTTCACGAGATGTCAGAATCTTCTGAGAAGTTGCCAACTTGGGTTGACTTCATTATGATGAAAATAATTATATTGTTGAGACGATAAAGCGAGCAAATACCATAAAAGATATAAATATACTCACCTTTTTAAGTAAGACAAACCCATTCTCAGCAGTTGCTCGCTTATTTAATTCTTCCTCATACCTAACCCAGTTAGAGAAAAGATTCTTGCATCAGTAGAAAATAACAAACACCAGAGGATATCCAAAACTGTAAACTGGGCGCTTTATGTTTTGCAATTTTAAAAGTTGTAAATCAGTGCTTTTGAAGCTCTTTGATCTCAGAAAATGGTAGTTTCCCCCACTAATGTGACAAAATTTAGTGAAGTATTTGTGTTCATTGACTACAGTTGTTTCCTTCTTTCCTTGAAACTATCTGGAAACTGGCAGTCAATAGCTTACAAACTAGCACCAGTCCATGGAGCAACATTTTGAGTAACATTGTTCTAAATCAAGAAAGGTTTAGATATATAGATCTGTGGCATATATATCTATCTACTTATAGCTCAAAGGTTAGAAAATTAGTTTTTCTCCATGCTAGGAACTGGTGAGCAAAACACACACACCCCCACCCAATAGAAAACCAACACCGTTCCAGCTTAATTGTGTTGTGATTTTTGTATAAAATTCAGCTTTTGAATCTCCCCAACTCATTTTTTTTAAAAAGTGCTTTCTAGCATAAATAGAATAAATGCATCTTATTCTGACACTTATAGCCTCATAACATGGGAGCAATTGAAGCATTCTAGGATGCTTCTGTCCCTACTCCAGCCATCAAATAATGTATGGAGAATTCCAGTGGGGATCCATGGGAGAACTGGAGCAGGAGCATATTGGGACACTACCACCACCAATATGGAGCCCACCCCATGTTCCATAAGGAACAACAGGGCTTTGGCACAGCGGTGATGCGTTCCCTCATGGAATGGAGAAGCGTCAGCTGGCAGCTGGGGCACCAGGATTGCCCCCGCCTCTCCACTGCCTCCATGATTTGCTGTAGAGGCTGGCAAATCACAATGCTGAACCTCATCCATGTGATGAGGCCCTTATTTATAGAATATAGTGTTTAAAATGTCTCACATATACTTATATATGTCAGTCTTATGTATACTCCAAGGGCAGGTCTGGAGGCCAAAACGATGGATTTTGAAATGATGGATAAGTCGAGGGCCATTCCACAGAGAGGTGAGAGCATCAATGCTGCCTTATGGGAGCAGCAGTATTTCCCTGGCCAGGCATTCAAAAAGGCCAGAAGCAGTGCCAATGTGGGGAGAGGGGATGGTGCTTCCTTTAGGCTCTTCTGGAATGGGATAAACTCTCTTATATTTTGCTACTCTATCCTGACTCATGGATAGGTCAGCTCAGTTTTTTGAGGTTGATTTTTTTTACTAAAATTTGTAGACTTATACATGAGTACAGAGCAAATATACTTTGGTTCACCTGCTTTTGTTTTTCTCCATTGTCTGTGCTGAACTATCATGCTCGATCTGTAGCTCTTTCTTCTCACGATCAAGGCACTCCAACTCCTTCTTAAGTCTGCTAGTATGATCATCAAAGAGGGGCTCCATGTCACTTCTGTGCTGTTTCTTTTCTTGCACAAAGTCCCATTTTGTCTTTAGCATCAGATTATGTTGTTCCAGCAATTGGACCTGAATCCCAAAAAGAAACAAATGAACGAACAAAACAATTTTTGTAGAAATCATGTCAGGGCAGGCTCTCTTATTAAAGGGATGAAACACTTCAAGGCAATGGGAGTAATTTCCCCATGGCTTCATCCCATGGCCTTACAATGACCTTTTAATGCTTGAGCTCACCACATGAGTGAGCTTTAATATTAACTTTTTCTAGCTGTGATAGAGGTTGAGGCTCAGGTTGAAAGGGCTTGTATCTTATGCCTATAAGTTTACATGCTGCTGGGTCTTTGAGAGTTAAAGGAGTACCACACGAAGCATATACTCGGGGAGATATGGCAGGTTATAAAATTATTATTATTATTATTATTATTATTATTATTATTATTATTATACAAAAAATGTCAAATAGACAAATCCCAACAGATATCACAATCACAAAACATCACATTGCTATACCTACTCTACAACCAACATGCTACATCTCCAATAACTGCACTAAACAAAAATGGGTTGTATGTCACTTCTGATTTGTCAGATTGCAATTATATTAACTCTTTCTTCTCTACAATTTATTAGAAAAGAAACATTTATAATACTAACGTATTTCTACTTAGCTCTCTGTATAAACATAGCTTCTCATTTTAGCCAAAGCTTGTGGTAGCCTGGAAAATGGTTTCATGCCTAACTTAGGGTGATATAATTTATATACAGTACATCAATGATTGCTGGAGATGCACAGGCAAAAATGCTATTGTGCAAGAAGTTGAACTTCATTGAAGGATCACACAAAGATGCCATGCTACTCGCCAAAAGCAATATGCCAAAAGCAATATTCTCCTGCTCACACTCCAAGGCCACACAGCTGTATAAAATCCACACTGGACTTCAGATGATATATGGCTTGCTTTGGAGCAGTGCTGCTGCTTCCAGTTGTTAATCTGGTACAAGGGGAACTGCAACTTACTCGATAGCTTCCAGGAAGCTCCAGAGTGATCCTGGTGACTCCTATGTTTTGGATTATTTAGGTAGTGTAAATGCAACCTTGAAAATGTATGCTACCAACTTCCTTACCTCAATGTTACATATGGATGTCCTAATTCATCTAGCAAACTGACATTTTTGAAATAGGTTCAAGTCATACCTGACAAGATTTTTTCCTACTAGGAAATAAGAATATTTTAGGTTTTAGGTTTCAGAAAGGGATTCTTAATCTATGGTCTTTGGCCCATAGATTGGGGGGGGGGTGTCTCTGTAGGGCTTCTCATGAATCAGATACAAAATCAGTGAGGAATAAAACCACTTGCTCTGCAAAACAGGTCTGTTAATGGCATTGAGCTTACAAAAGTCCATATAACTAGGAGACAAAACCAGCATCCTATAATTATGGACCTCATCATATTGGATGCTGGAATCACCAGCTGTGCCCATCAGAGGAGTGGGGTAGAGGTGGGGTGGGGGAACCCATCACCCCATATCGCCTGAATTACCTGAAACTCCAACCCACCGGCGGGGGGGGGGGGGGGAGTTTCCGCTGCCCATTGTTGCTAGTCAACACGGGAAGTCTCCTGTGTTGTTGTGGCAGTGGCATACACCAGTTCCACTGTAGCTTAGCCATGGAGTCCTACTGGAAGTAGCTGTACATCATGGGATGGGAGGTCCATGGCTAAACTTCAACAGAACCAGCATATGCTGCAGAAAACAGCCTTGTCTGATGAGGTCATAAGTCTCTTTGCAATTATAAACTTAACAACATGCTGTAATTCTAGATTAATCAAGTTAAACTGTATAAAGAGATTCCTTGGATTTTTGCAGTGGGACTCATAATTAATATAACAATCTCATTCAGAACCCCTTTTCAAGAAAATCACTACTCATGCATGTTCCTCTGTTTGATTCTAAGTGAAACCTATGTTCTTTCTTTCCACCCTCAACTCACCTTGTTAATGAAACTGGCCAATTTGCTGTTCAGGCTCTGAAGTTCATTCTTGGTCTCACGCTTCTCAGCTAGGGCTTCGGTGTCTAATCCCAGGTCGAGCGGTTTCAGCAGGGACTCGTTGCATGTTACAGAGGTGATACGTGATTCCCCAGGAGCACCTGCTCCTCCATTGTTCATGAAGAAATGGTTGGGCCTAGTGCCACAATAGTTGTATCCAGCCCCAACATTGCCAGGATGTCCATTTCCAGGAAAGTTGTTACTGAAGGCAGGCCAAGGTCCACAGGAGCCGACACTTTGACTGCTGAAGCCACCTGTTCCTCCATTACACATTCCAGTATCCATAGGAGGGCAAAAGCCATGGCTGGCAGGGACCTGACCTCCATTATAGAAGTTGTAGTTTCTTGGACCACATCCAGGATTGATGTGGTAAGGCATGGCTTGTCAGTGGAGAGAGATGAAAGCAGATGAAAGGAACTATAAAAGAGGCATGCTGGGGGAAGGAAAGGGAGGAGATGAAGAAGGAAAGGGTTTAAGCCTTTGTGGGTTTAAGAAAGGCAAGTTGTCCTTTATATGCATTTTGGGAAGCTGGGTTTGGTTGCCTGTTTGTGAGGGAACAGCAATTTCATGGCGTTTATGAGCTTTCAGAAATGCTTCTCATATGTGGGGCTTAATAAACTGGCCAAATATAGTTCCCCTTCTGAGTGTGCACATGAAGAAACTCCTATAAAATTACTGGGTCAAATGCATCCTGGAGGATATGATATCTGGAGCAAGACAAAATCCACTGTGATTGCCAGTCTGATTTCCTCTACTCATGTGCCTTTTTTTAAAAAAAGGTCATCCTGGCTAACAAATTCCGTAAGCAGAAAAGACAACTATGGAGACAGCCTCTTGGTCCTGGCTGGAAACATGTTCATAGTTGTTGCAATGGCTACATCAAAAACAACTTCTGAAGTGAGCAATGCCATGTGATTCTTGCAGAACTGGTTGCATGTTGATGACCATTATGATGCTCAAGTCAAATGGCCAGCCCTCATGATGGAGGATGCGGCAGATGTAATAATTAACTTTGTATTTTTAACACCATCCTAGTTTCATTTACTAATAAAAACTATGATGACAGCGTCTGCTGCTGGTGCTGCTGACGCCCTTTGGAAGCCCTGCTTCACTGTTATTAATGGTCTCAGGAAAATAAAAAGCAAAGCTAATAAAGAACAATTATTTCAGGTATGCTCACCAGTTGCTCTATGGTGACTAGCTAATGTACTGTTGTTTTTGTTTTGAGACTAGGGTGTGTGTGTGTGTGTGTGTGTGTGTGTAAGGGGCATCTATGGAAGTGGAAGGATGATGCCTGGAACTGTATTGCTATTCCACTCCCTAGATCAAGAGTGTGCCCCAGCTTTTCCATTACACTTCTGACCTGAGGTTCCCTTGGTACACAAATCACTGGAAGAATGAAAACCTTATGAAGCTGCTGACAAATTCAGTGAGAAGAAGACAAACTAAGAAAATAGGGACCCAGAGAGCATGTCAATATAATCCCATGTAAACTAATTATTCAAAAGTCTCTTGTCATTCTGTGTAATGGGTCCTTGTCCCAGAAAAGCAGTTATAGTGCTGAAGCATGAGGAAAGACTTCAAACTACAAGAGAGGAGATTCCATCTGAACATTAGGAAGAACTTCCTGACTGTGAGAGCCGTTCAGCAGTGGAACTCTCTGCTCCGGAGTGTGGTGGAGGCTCCTTCTTTGGAAGCTTTTAAGCAGAGGCTGGATGGCCATCTGTCAGGGGTGATTTGAATGCAATATTCCTGCTTCTTGGCAGGGGGTTGGACTGGATGGCCCATTAGGTCTCTTCCAACTCTTTGATTCTATGATTCTAAGACAAAGAAAAATAGTTTTTTGAAACATTTTTTCACATTGTCAAATAGAGAGATGGAGAGTTTTAGATAGGGCAGGAAGAATGGCTGGTGGTGTTTTGGAGGGTGATGGGGAAAAAATTACTGGGTTACCTCCAAGCATCCATCAAATGGGTACTCAACATTTTCAATGTCCCGGAATTCTGCATTTTAATGGTTGTAGGCAACAGAGTTATGGATCTGATTGGCCAACTAGATGAAGCTTTTAAATCTTCTAGTGAGTTTCACACTCCAAAAATTATGCACTCAGCTTTTCTACATGAATGAAAAAAACCTTAATTGCCTTGTAATAATAATAATAATTATTATTATTATTATTATTATTTATTTGATCAGTCATATGACCATTTCAAAATAGAACACGAGTAAAAAACAAGGCAACAAGGTGATAAGTCAGAATCTTATTTTCCTGGTTCTTCTTTCAGGAAATCTGCTCTTTTCTTAATAGCTTTCAGAATAAAAAGGCTTACTCTGATTATGCTGGATCTTTCCTGCCCTTGCAAGAGGGATGTCAGAATATCATTTCTGTTGGGGGACCTGCAGTTGGATAATATTGGATGTAAATATCTGTCTCGCATTGCCTTGTAGGTGCTCTGATCCTAGCATACACACAATATCTGTGGCTATTCATTTGCAATGTGTTTCTCTGGGCCTCTATCAATTTTGAAAAACTTTGTTGTTCATCCTGAAGTTTTAAAGAAAATCCAGACTTAGCAACAGAGTTTAAAGAAGGAGTTAATGGTGGGTGGAACTGATCATTGGGAGGCGAGCCTTCCTGCCAAGAAATTGATCTTTCCCAGTTTGATTTTTTTTAAATAAAAAAGTTGTGTGGATACAAGCATGTCAGCATAAGTGCATCTCCGCTTAACAGAAAATATGTTTATTTGCCTGCATAATGGGAGCGGGGAAAAGAAATGAAATGTTCATTCATGGCTGTGTGGCTGAAAATAATGTGAGGGATTGGAAATGTAGGCCAATCCCTAACAGCAAGGAAAATTTGCAAGGGGAAAATGTGTGGTTGGTTATGTTAATACAATGTGTTAATATGATGTATAGCATTTATTGGGTGACTGTAGGGCCAATGTGGAGAGGAAAGAACCTCTCCCCACCCTAGGAACGCTGGGGGCGGGGGGAGCTATTTGCCTCCTCACCCAAAGAAGGAGTGGATTATTGTCCACTGGAACCGGTTGAAGGAGGGCATAGCCAACAAGTGGTTTTGGCCGCCCTCTCCTTTTCAGTCGGTTCCAGCCACTGACCCACCACGCCCGCCCATTGAACAGTATAATTCTTGGTTGTCAATGGGGGTAGGAATTTTTCCATCCTATATTCTAGAACGGTTTTTTCGCCTACCCTATACTGTTTTTAGGGGCTATCTGGGATGGTGTGTTTTTAAATAGGACTTAGTGTTAAATAGTTTAGAAAAACACAAAGTGGGTGGACACCCAAGGCACTCCCCTATGGAGTGAAGGCCAACAACTAAGACACTCGCCTACTATGATAACAGCTTGGGGTGAGACAAGTTTTAATGGCCTTAAATAGGGAGAGTTGAGCCTCAATAACCTGGGGGTAAACCCTCTCCGCATATTTCCTTTGTGGTTGCCTGGGTTTATGTTACAGGCGACCCAGGTGTTCCGCCCAAATAGTTGAGGGGTAGGACAGATACGGATGCTACCTCAACTTTGTTACACCAAGTTCTATACACACAAGTTAGACCAGTTGAAAGTTAAATAGGTAACTATTAATAAAGTTGCCCAAAAATTTGATCCAAAGAAATGTTGTGTGGTCTCGTTATTTTGGGGGTTGGAAGGCAAATACATAATGTATTTAATCGGTGTGTTAGAATATACTATTTCCCTCCAAAAAAACAAATTACATAAAAGAACAGAGGGAGCCTAATTAGTCAAATTTCTGTTTTTTCAAAAATCCTGCCTCCATTATGTGGGCCCTCTAGTTATAATAAGACATCTGTCAGAATTATAGCATTTCGTGTTCTTTCACATACCCAAATCCCTGATTCTAAGACACACTTCCCCCTCCACATAAAAATGAATGCATCTTTGAATCGTGGGTTCATATATATATTCAAAGAGGTATCAGTTTTCAGAAGTGTTAAGCTCCTTAGTGTGTTGTACGATCAGAAACAGCAGAGTCTTTTAGCATTTCAAACATTATCAGATTTTGCTGGAGCATAACTTTTCACTGAACTTTTTATTTCAGGAGACTGTTGGAAAATTTCCTTGATTTCCTAGGTTTGTGGTGTTTTTATGTTTGTGATTTAGATTTTGGTTTTTGCTTAAAATGTTTTTTTTTTAGTTGTACTGTAAATGGCCTCTAGTTTTATTTTTGGCAGAAAAGCAGGATTTAAAATAAATAAATAAATCAATATTTAAAGGTCATGGGACTCTGTGTTATTTTTAAACTTTAAACAGGTTACCACAGAGCAAATAAACACAAGTTGGGCTGTAATTCTATCACAAGTGCAAAGCCTGTGCTTTGTGAATGCTTTACAACTATACCTGCAATGAATTTGTATTATTATATTTCTTTATACTCAATTCTCCTGAAAGAAACTCAAAGCGGCTTAACATAAAAGTTACTTTTCAAATTTTTCTTTCTCCTCGTCTTCTTTGCTAAGCTATCCTAAATGTCTATCTGGATACCTGGTGTCTCCTTATCCAAGCCAATCCAGCTTCCTGAAGGCAGAAGAGAAGTGAGGTCATCTTCTCTTTACTCATCTTTATATGTTTTCTCTTTCCCTTGGTAATAGTGAGGGGGACAGAAATTTAAAGAGATGATTTATATCTTTTTTTAAAGAATGGCTAATGCTCCTTTAAGTGATGTGAGCCCCCCCCCCCCCCCCGAAATAAATGTTTAAAAAGAGTGCCTCCCTTAACTCCACTTCATTGTTGAGGGCAAAGGACCCCAGAAAGGGTGGCTCCTTACGTCAGGTGCCTTTAACCCAGGTCTTATTGAAGGACATAAGGAGAAAAGATCCCGGAAAGGATGGGAGGCTATCCGCCTTTCCATAAGGAAATATGTGTTGAGTCGGCTTAAAGAGATTTCCACCCATGTGATGAAGGGGAAGCCAGAACGGTGCTGCCTCTGGCAATGTGAAACCAAGGCTAAGGAAAGAAGGGAGAATGGAGGGAGATCCAGTGGGCCAGACCTTCCCAGATTTTTTGGTTGCCGGATCGAAAAATTGATTTTTCTTGACCAAATTTGGGATGTTCCCGAAAAATGGATCAGGGGTCCACCAAAATCCAGATACTGAAAGCAGATTGGGGTTTAACCAAATTGAACATTCTTAGTAGGTAAAGGGTGGCCTCGGGGCAAGATGTTACCCTACTCCAAGACTGGTTTTCCATCTCTCCACCCTCCAGTTTGATTGGACTGCCTACTCTTTTTAAAAAACTAATTAGGCAGGATGAATCAGTTGTCCTGGTAGCCACCAAGAATAGCAACTTAATTTTAAAGTAAGTTACTGCTTCTTTATACATGCACTCATACTGTGCAACAAT